AACGTGTGCCTTTTAGGCCTGTACATGAAATCAAAAATTAATAGCGCCCAAAATCTCGTCACGTCTCGGTATATTATAGCGTATTGCAAAAATGTACATGTTAAAAAAAAAACGCTTAATTAATTTTATGATAAACATTTGTCGATATCTCTCGACAGGCCAGGCATGCTGGGCATCGTACCATATACAACAACCAACATCGTAATGAACAAGCAGGTAGTTTTAAGTTATAAATAGGTTCATGCCTATCGAAGTACTAAATCGATGTGGGGCGTTGATCAGTGGAAAAGAACAGCTAAGTTACACTTATATATGATATATGGTCACCTTTCCAAGGCAGTGGCAACAATTTCACGTGTTTTTAATTCGTCTGAAAATACTTCCTCATTAATTGAACTTGACATTAACTTGTAAAGAAACAAGAGTTCGCACTTGACGCGTAAGTACCCTTTTGCGCTATGCTTCTTTTGAGTACGTTTTTCATAAAAAACAGCGTGTAACACCCATTATTTGAATATGTTTTCTGAAATCACAAGACAGACAACAGGGCTGAAATGTTCAAGCACGAAAACACATCTAAGCCTTTTGTCTAATTAAGTGTTATGGCAAATTAACGATGTGATTACCAACCGTGATCAATAGGTACGTCAAAAATAGGCAGTGTCATAATTTACGAAAACTGTCTGACTGTCTTACTAAACGATATTTATCTTTCTAGCGTTATGTTTTTATTAAAATGGTTTATCATAGACGACTCAAACATGACGAGTATTAGTATTTTATAGAGCTATGTACACCATTGATTCTTTTATTGAACAGAGACTTTTATTGAACGGTGTTATCTGAGCGTTTTCTTTGTACTCAACACGGGCGGCGCAACTGCTACCAACCTCACAAGCGCCCCCTAACATTTAAAATATAGGCGCATTTCTTATGATACACGAGGTACCGATTTAAAGATCGTTAACCCGCTGAGCATTCGTCTGTATGCACTAAATGACTTTCAATTGGAATGATATTAAAGAAACGATCCACAACGTCGCGATTCGAAGTGATGATCAACACCAGTTCACCCCCCTCGTAGAGATGAAACTTAAAAAGTTAGAGAGAAAACGACAATTAGTGCAGAAGATAAAAATAATATATTGTAACGAATGTTTCATAATAATTCTAATAAAAAAAAGTTCTTCCAACGCACTATCATAGTTATTTGAAAAGCTACAGGCCTTTTATCAGCCAGAAGGTAGACATTTCGAATCTGTCGTTTGGTATTTGGGCTTCTAACGGAGACAGAGTTGAGACGAACCTCAGAATTTATCACTGCTTCATGAGTTGGGTCAGATTAGAACAGTTTTTCATTGATGCGTCGCAAAGGCGGAACTTCAGCCAACCCATAAAGCCATTCCAGATCGCAGAAAGGTGTGCTTCGTAGCTGAATAACCTCATCTAGCTGGAAGACCCTTCTGTATTGCTAATGAGATTTACTATCCCACTACGGTCGGTCAACCGGCTTTTCAGCTTACTCTATCCAACTTCCACAGTAGCAACCGCTGTAGAAAAACATACCCAACGGGTAACAAAGCAGGTGAGGGCGAAGTGCAAGGATGAACTTCACGTTAGAGCTTTACCAGCAAACCAGAACGGCTGGTTTTAAGCAACAGTTCATGCATAGAGTTCCAGAGTAACTGGGTCCGCCTATGGCCACTGGCCGGTCTGCTGATTCGTTACGATATCTACTCAGGAAATTCATCTGAGTGCTCGTGAAGGTAGTAATCTCTGCGGGGCTCGGGAGTACAGGAGGTGAGCTGTAGCAAAAAATCTGATTTCGCCTTCGCCCTGACTTAGCTCCGTGAGTACGAGAAAGCTCTGCACGAAAACAGACCGAGCAGAATAGATAGATCGAAATGGTTTATTTTGCAAAGTTCGCTTGTTGGGTTCTACTCGTAACAAAAGCACTTGTCAGTTTCGATGCAGCTCTGGCGCTACAGTAAGCTAGATAAGGGTCTCTTTTCGTTATTCAGCTAACAAAGCCAGCCTCTTGGAATCATCATCCCTAAACCCCCAGAAGGGGGAAATTCACAAGAAGGGATTTACACACAGACCTTCACGTGTACGCCTTTACGTGTAGGTGCGATGTAAACAGAGCATCTAGACCACCCCATTTCGTTCATTGGACAAGGTATTCTTTTTCTGCGAATAACTAGCTTTCTATTAGAAGACATAGCGTCGTACTATGTTGAATACCCAAACGAAAAAATTTCTTCCTTGGTTTATGAAGATTTACCAGTAAATAACACCTTTCCTGCTGAGTATAGATGTATGCTAACAGATACGAAATTCTATGGTGCGATGCAACGGGATAAACATTCCCAGTAGCCTTACTGGGAGAAACGACCACAAGCGATTCTTCCAGAAAAATTATATTTTCGATTCATCTGCATTTAGTAAGTTGCCTAGATGGCTGAATTAACACTAGAAACTTATTCATCTTTAACGGGTAGTATTCTAAACACTGGAAATATGTACATTGTAACAGCTTGCCCTACTAATCTAAACGGCCGATGTCAAAGTATACAGCGTTGGGTTTCACATTCGGTTGTACTGTAACAATCGACTGTAGAGACGAGAACAATAAAGGACAGAAGGAGGAGACGAAGTGCCCAGCAGAAGGCCTATCGAAATGAAGGATACCGCAGTTCACTTGCGAGGAAGTTCAACAACAAGGCGTCAAGGACAAACGTGTTCAACCAGCACAGCATAAGCGTCACCAGCTGCTGCAACAACCCCAGTATCGGAAACCCCATCACGGCTAGCAGGGTCTGCGCAAATAACGCTAATACCACTAGAGCACACCAAATCAGAAACAAAATGGCGAAGTAGGAGAAAGCGGGGCAGAGCCTCTAGAGTCATTGTTATTCCTGTTCCGGGCAGAGTAGTCGAAGAAAAGCACACGCGCTTTATATTGTCATTGTAGCGTGAAATTCTTGCATCCCGTCGCCACTAGAGGAACAATAATGGATGCCTCGTGTAGAAACGACAAGAACCGGGAGAACGGCTATCTAGCAAGGATTGGACATTCTACTGGTACGGATGAGGAAATGAAGCCAAATCAGAGCTACGCGAAAGGTATCTACGCAGATGGACAACAATACCCAGCTAAAGAACTCAAGCTAAATTAAAAGCTAAAATGTTTGGCTGAGCGGGTTTGCACCTCAATAGCTGTGAAAAATGCTTTTGATGAACTTGAGCGATGTTAAAAGATGTCTATTAAATACCTAAGACTACATAGGTGTTGAATTTTTCTCTTTAATATCGTGTGAATAAAGCAAACCCTTTCTAATTATCGCCGGTCGTTAATGTATTCGTTCTAAACATGCAAATCAAATCATAATGCAACAAAGCTTGTTCATGCCAGTTGCTCTTTTATATAAATTAATTTAAAAAATTTTATATAATAATAATTAAAAAAATGAGCAGCGAGACATTTAAACAATATTAGCGAAGTTGGTCGAAACCTACGAGTACGACAAGAAGCTGAAATTCTATGACAAAACGATCATCGACGGCGATACTCTTAAATATCCATAAATATCTAATAAAGAATTGACGATAGTAGGCTCTACGCATGTTTGCCTATCTAGAGGGTCGCTTTCCGACCTTCGATCGTTGAATCTGACGGCCATTTACTAAACAATGCAAACGCTGTTGCTGCTTCCTCAGTCGTGGTGATGACATCGATGATGAAGCAGCACGCGAATTGCACCGGTTGCGTCAGAGACGAAAAATCCAGCCGAAAGCAAATTGTCGACGAAGCTTGTTATCTAGTCTTAAACGTCTTAACGGAACTCCCGGGAAATCGTTGCTATATCTTTCGAAACATTATCACTGCGGCATCAGCTCTGCTGGCAGTGAGTGACGCCATCATCTCACTACTGGTTTTGGTACGGGAGCCCGAGCTAGTAACCCATACTAGTCGGGAGTGACTGTGTATCTGTGTGTTTGTGTGCATTTTGGAGATCTGCGTGTAGGTATTGTAACGTAGTCTTCGATCATCCACTCTAAACGAGTGTTCTCACATTGCTCGCTCTGTGGTGGTGCTGCTGCTGCTGCTGCCCCCAGATGGGCAAATCAGCCACACACAGCTCGACAGACGAACCCCTCGGAGGCCTTGTCCTTCCGCGACGATTGTACGGTCCACGTTACATAAAAAACACAGAAGTAGGCGTCGAAGTAAAGAGAAAGGAAGTACTTGTTGCTACCTTTTTAGCTGAGCCAACGGTCAACTAAGTAACAGACCTCGCCATGTGTGCATCGTTGCCGTCGTCCTGGTTTTGCGTTGTACATATACCCAGACAGACGAGGGCTCGAGAAACGCCAAGACGGACCCCCACGAAGCTGATGCGCGCTCGTCTCGAGATCTTCCCTTTTTCCTTCTGCGCCTCCTTTTTCTGCTCGTACTGTTGTTCGCGTCATACCTTCGCGCTGACTTGTACCGATACGTCCGCGAAAAAGTCAACAGCAAAAAGAGCGGCAACGAGAAAAACATCGTCCCTGGGGCATTCTTCGGGGTACCCTGCCGTGGCGCCCGTTGCTGCTGCTGCTACAGCAGCATCCACAGACAGCGAGTAAGCGACATCGGCGCGCCAGCAGTAAACCCAATTCAGGAGCGAACGAGCAAGTGAGCTAGTGACGACGACTAGACGCCTGTTGCTACCGCTTACATACTGTGGCTGCAATTCTCAGCAGGCTCTTTTCTCCGCTGTTCACGCTGGTTGGTCCTGGCCGTTCGTGGGTCGATCACCCGGTGGGTACCCCATGCTGTTAATGTCGATCGCAGCAGCTGCTCCTATTGCTGCTGGTTGTTCAGAGAGTGCTTCTGGAGAGGGTATTAACGCCCTTTCCCCCCGGGAGGCAGCAGTAAACACTACAGCGCACCTCGTCAACGCTGACTATTCCTGTCGTTCGTATTGGAGATAGTTATTGGCGTTTCTGCTCTCGTACGCATGAATAACCGTGTTTCGGCGCCCAGCAAGCACATTTCGCCGTCGGTTTCCGTCCGCTCTGGATGTTTCGACAGAACGTTCGACGACACCCATTGCTATATACCAACTCGACGGAGATCTGTTTGTATGATTTTCGATTAACGAAAATAGGCGCAGCACAGACTGGCATGAAATAGATTGATTGACTACGATAGAGCGCCGGTCAATCGGTCCGCTAAGGTGTAACTTACCTATCTCCATGTTTAACTGGTGTTGTGTTGACGATCGTTGACGAAGAAAGGATATACGCTCGCGCATATTCGAACCTGTTGTCTGTATTCTATGCGACGGTGCTTATAACTCGAAAGGATATTACACCCAAGCCGCCAATATCGACTGCTGTTCTAAACGATTTTGCCACGATAGAGTACTGATACCACTGAGAGCCATGCGGTGGTTTCTGCTTTTCACGCTGGCTATAGCCGGCGTCACGTCACAATCCGGCAGAATATGTGAACCCATTGAAATCGAATACTGTAGGGGTATTGGTTATAACGTCACTGGTAAGTACGAGACGTACATTACAAGCTATTCGTTTTATACGCATATATGTACACCGTGTGTAAAATACAGGTATCTTAGATACAAGTGAAGCTTGGTGATCAACTTGAGCTGAAAGGAACAACGAGCCTCTTGCATGCGTATAAGGGCGGATGCCACATTAGAATCATAGCTAACGACCTGGTCGCTATACATTTGAGAGCTTTTTTTTTTGTCCTTAGTCCGTTGTCCGTCCTTGTTACAGTGTAATAGAATTTATCGCACAACAACCTTGGGCTGACGGCGAAAAAGAAACGATACGATTTTAGATACCATTTAGCTAGTACGCTTTTAGTGTACCATTAGCTAGATACTGTGCAAGAAAGAGTTTGTGGTTGCCTCGATATTTTGTTTCGAACTTTACGAGCTGCAGTTCTTTTAGAACTTGAATAGCGAGCTGGTAACTATTTAGGATTCCCTTTAGCTGCATAATGACCGTCAACACAAAGAGCAGAGAAAGTTGTGTATAATTCTAATGTACCCTTTGACAAGCATAACAACATGACGACAAAGGCTTCGTTGCTCATTTGGTTAGCGGCCACTTTCCCCAGTTGACAGACACAAACAGAGAGATAGATAAGGGAAAGCTGCGCATTCGGCTGACGACGAGACACTTCACTCTCTAACATTAATTAATCACCTAACCTAGATAAGGCAAAATGGCACACAATTGCACACAGGAAATGCTCGAATATTTTCAACCGCGAATATGCGGCCACGTATTAAGCAACGCGAGGTGGAAAAACCAGGAAGCGCAGCATTTCTAATGTCTGGTCAGATGCTCTTAGTTTTGCCAATAATGCTTTGTTTATTTTTTAGTGTTGTTGTTGATTTATTGGCGCCGGCCTCACAGCAGACACTGCAGTCGTTTGTATTACCTACCTTATTCGATTTTATCATTTCTGTTCATGCTGATGTCTTGTACTCTCGAGGTTGCCTTTCTTCGTATTTAAATCTCCTATATAACACTGGCAATCTTTCCTCCTACAGGCATTTAGCCATGCACATCTTTAGTTGAGGGGCAATAGGTGTACCCGTATAGTCGCTCTGCTTAGTGTAGTCGTCAACTTATCGCCATTGCGATAATACACAGATGTACGCATATCTACACGTATCTATGTACACGGACTTTCTCGGGCATTGGCTCTGTTCCGCCATCTTTGCGCTCAGTGGCTCCTCGCGATCGGGCTCACCAGTCACCGGGTCGCCATCCTGGCGCTGCGTTCTTTTTTCTGCTGCTCGATGGTTGTTGATGGCTACGCGCAGTGACAAGGGGACGAAAACGACGACCACGGTTACGGCGATGGCTGGCTGAGCAGCTGAGTGATTGTATTTTTTTTCGCCTTCTTAACTGTGGTCTTTGTACGTTCGACTCGTGGTTGTGTTCGTCTTCGTTGATTTTTTTCTCCAGCTCATCCGCGCACTTTCGTTCTCTTCCGTTCCTGCTTCTGCTAGGGCTATTGCTGTTGTTGGTTCTGCGAACGTTGTGCTGGCCTTCTGTCTTCGTTTTAGCTGATGCTCGTCTTGATCTTGTGCTGCTGCTGCTGCTAGTGTTATTATTATTATTGTTGTTGTTGCTTTTAGTCGCAGCTCTTCGTCTTGCAGCTTAACGTAGCAGAACTGACAGCATCAGGACCGACGGCATCAGGACCAATAACAGCGGTGACTATAGCGCGCGCTGCGAGAGGAAGTCTCGTGTCCAAATCTTCTCATTCCATTATACTATCAGTATTGCTCATTCGATTTCTTACTCGTCAGCCGCGTACGACATGCCAGTCTACAGCTGACTGATGCTGCTGCTGCTGGCCACAACCGCTTACCGGCCATGGCTGGCGCTCCCCCTGTTGTGTGCTTTGACGAAGCTATTCGGCGGCATCCGATCGAGCAGGATTTGAGCGGAGGGTGCCGTATGCCAAAGTAGCAAAAATAAAGCCAGCAACAGCAGCGTCAGTCAGACCCGTGTCCAGTAACAGCAACAGAGATTAGCTTGTCTGCATGTGATGCATACAGAATGCACGGACAGTACGGGACGAGAGTCGGAGAAGCTTATGCTGCCAGCAGCAACAACGCAATCGAGTATCCAAGGCCAATTGTCGTTTCTGCCTTGCGCGGTACAAAAAGAAAATAGAAAAAAACTGCTGGGTCCCAACTTCGCCACTGCTACCAGCGGCATACAACGAAGCAGTTGGTCGATAGAACAGCCGCTACAGCATCACAACAGAACTGAGCGCAGAATTTTCTCGGCGCGCAGTTGGTACCGTTGCCGAAGTCTCGAGCAGCACTAACCTTAGGTAGTCTCAGCTGGCCTACGGGCCAGCAATCACAGTCGCGGCAACAGGGAGCATCAAGCGACTAGGTGAGTATAAAAAGAGCCCGACCAGGAGGAGGCATTCGGGTGCCCCTCGATGCGTTTCGATACAGAGGTAGAGAATGGATGGCACCCGACAGAAAAAGAAGCCCTCACGTCGTCGTTTTCGTCTTCGATTTCTGATGCATCTGTAGGTGGAGGTGGTGTGTTAACGCATCTATGGCGAGCACCTATCTTAGGCAGGCGCCCGGCTCTCCCAGCGAAAAAGCTATTATGTATTGGATCTTCGTATCGGGTTCGCTGATGCGTCCTAATGCTAGGCAATTCGTTTAACGTCGTTTAACCTCGTGGAATAGGGCCGGCTGGCAACTGTCTGTACTCAGTAACTAAAACGCTGTTGGTTCGGGACGTCATTGGGCTGATGACCGATGAACCGGGACTTCAGACGGAACCGGGTCAGCGTGCTAGCTCATCCGCCAAGCTTCCTCTACAAGTACACATATACAGTGATTATGAGCATAATCTGTAAAAGACACAGACTTCTTCTGCTGGGAGATTTATCTGAGGAAACGTTGCTTCCCTGGCAGAACGAATTAATGCAGTTCGTCGCTGGTCACTGCTGTAACCAGGGCTAAGGCCAATCAAGAAAACAGTTTAGCGACCACTCAGACACATAGACCTAAGTGTACATAGTGATGGACGGTGACCAGGTCATTTGGGGCCATCAGGCCATTCATTTTATGCATTCGACAGAGTTGGCGAACGCGAAGTCTTTATTTAGTTAACGGACTAGATGCACTCAGTTGACAATCAGACATCAGTATAAGCTAGCACGACGAATATGTCGACCATTGAGTCGAATTTCTCTAGAATTATTTAACAAACATAATCATATTATGGTATACAGAGGACTGTAGTCGGGAGGTTACGATAAAACTCGAATCGGTAAAACTTACTTTCGCAGTAACATGCTATCGAAAAGACCATGCGCATACTTTGACTTTAAAAAGAGTGCAAAATTGGGAATTTGATTTTTTTTTTTGGCTGAAAACAGAAACAAATAATGTTCGGATTCAGATCATTTGGTTAACATGTTTAGTCCAGAAGCGAGAATTACCTATAAGCATGAGTAACCGCAGACGATCTTTCATATTAACAACCGGGTTAGTCGGAGGAAAGTCCCTTGATAGAAATGCTAACATAGGATAACAGAAAATTGGGTAACAGATTCGCCTTCGAAAATGGGCTGATGCTTCCAGCGACCCAAAGACAATGTGGAGAACGCCTCCCTTCCCGGGCTGTGATCTTCTTCCGCTGATCGAACGTGACGAACCTGGCTCTATAAATCTAACCGGTTCAATATGGCCCACATGTGCGTCAAAGGTAGAGGAGTTTCGCACATGTGAGAACGTTTGAAATACTCGACTACGTTATTACCCTGGCGACACATGGGGGAAGTTTCATTCGCACATATGCTGCCACATAGGTTATTGTGTGGATCGGCTTCTTTACTTTTAACAGTGCCACAGTGAAATATTACAAGACATGAGCACCGGTTCTGATCTTGCCGACATCGCCACGCAAATCAAGGTTTCTCTTGTTCAGTAGAGAATGACGAATATATATATATACATACATCTTATTATGCGTCGGCAGTTGTGGCAAGGCACAGCGCAGTGAATCTGCCTTTCGCAAGGGATCCATTTTGTCACCGGTCCCATGCCGATTTCTATCTTCGTTATTACTAGATGATATTTGTATATGCCTTTATTTTGGTTGTGTGTCTATTAATAGCTGACTCCAGCATGTTGCTAATGTATAAGAACACAATGTATAATCAACGTAGCTAATTAACGTGCCCAAAAAATACGCATAAATATTCCATGCATGTATGGTGACCATGTGAAAGTTTGACAGCTAGCTTGTGGCTCATGTAACTGATAAGGTCGCATGGTCACTAGACAGAGGAAAACCAATTGAGACCAAGTTTTGTCCTAGCCCGCCTTACTTGTGCCTATGGATCAACCTTCAACATGCGCTCTGCACAACAACACAGCAGTCTGAACCTGAAAACATTCAATAATAATATGAATCATACTCTGTGTCGTTTCAGGTATGCCGAACTTTTTCGGCCATGAAGCCCAGGAGGAAGCTAGACAGAATTACATGACGTTTTCACCATTGATCAAGTACGGCTGCAGCTCACAGCTCGTTTTTTTTCTTTGCTCGGTCTACGTGCCAATGTGTACGGACAAGGTCCCAAATCCCATTGGGCCCTGTCGACCGCTCTGCGAATCGGTTCGGAGGTCATGCGCTCCCACCCTTCAAGATTTTGGTTTCAACTGGCCTGAGCAACTCAACTGTACGAATTTTCCTCCTGAAAACGACGGCGACCAAATGTGTATGGAAGGACCAGCACCAGATACGGCTGTTGACCCGCCCACGCCTCCGCCGCCACGCAAGACCCCTAAGCGGCCCAATAGCGTCCGGCAGAAGTCAACACATTATTGGAACAAACATTCGAACCAGTGCTCTCGCTTTCGTCAAGGGGACCGCTCGTATGTTTTCGTCAATGCGACCGAACGTTGCGGCCAGCTCTGTGATAGTGATTTGCTATTTTCAGCTAAGAACAAGCGTTTTGCAGATATCTGGATGGCCGTATGGACCGTGGCATGCTTCATGACATCGGCGTTCACTATCCTGCTTTTTTTTATGGACAGATCGCAATTTGAGATTCCAGACCGAGCTGTTGTTTACCTCTGCGTGTGCTATTGTGCTCAATCTGTTGGTTACTTTATTCGTTTACTACTCGGAAGGGGCGTTGCGTCCTGTTTCCAAGTGGGCGCCGTCTCCGTCCTCGTCCACCAGGGCCTGCAAAGCTACTACTGCTCATCGGTGTTCGCCTTTCTCTACTATTTCAATAACGCGGCGTCGATGTGGTGGGTTGTAGTGACAATAACGTGGTTTATGTGTGTCCCGTTAAACTACCCGCCTCAGCAAGTACAAAGAAGGATGGTTTCTCTCCATTGTGCCGCATGGATTATTCCAGGGTTTATGATGACTGCGATCCTCGTCATGCGTGCAGTGGACGCTGAAGAACTAACCGGTGTTTGCTACGTTGGCAATCAGAACCGTGACACTTTGCTGGCGTTCGTCATTCTGCCACAGTTGTCCTGTCTAATTCTCGGCTGTGCCTTCCTGATCTGCGGTGGTGTAACGTTGTACCGACGATGGCAGTCAGAGACCCCAGCGAAAAGTTACAGCAGTTGGTATAATCCGGAGTCTCGGACGTGGATCTTTGCCCTTCTCTATGTGATACCAGCATCGTGCGTGCTTGGCGTGAATCTCTACGAGTATATTTATCGCGACTCGTGGATACTAAATCAGAATGGGCCGATTTCGCGGCCGCACGTCGAGTGCTTTGTCTTTAAGATGTTTATGAGCGTTGTAGTCGGTATCACTGCCGGTCTATGGACGTGGTGTTCCAAAGCTCCGATGCACGATCAGTCTGTGAGCAAAACGGGAGCGCCCCCATTGCTCGTAACTACGCCGTTCCAGCATCAACCGATAATGGTACAGAATCAGTATTTCGTACCCGAGCATCTACTGCATCAAATGCAGCAGCAGCAACAACACCAGCAGCATCAATATCATCAACGGCACACCGTCTTGTGATGGATGGGTTTCTATTGTGTCCCGTATACAACCTTAATGCAACAGCAATAAAGCTCATGCGATCCTGTGTGTGTTGGACACTACATTATCACAATCGATTGTTAAGCACGGCCAAAACCTAAGCCCTAGTTCCTTAAACCATTAAGTTCATATGATCGGCCTATTCTAAAGACGTACATCTTTCTCCCCGTTGCTAGAGGACCTTTAGGCATAGAGCCGACCACTGTTTTTGCCACAGCCTGTGTTCATTTAAAAACTGTTGAAGTATTTTGTCTAAATAGCGCGGTGTACGTTTCGATATCAACATGTCGTGCAGCAGACTGTTCATTTTCCCGTTGAGCAACGATGTAATCTTTTGACTTTATCTGGTTGCGTTAAACCGAGAAAGTGCACCCCTGTGAATTTCCTTTACAATATATTGGGTCACAAATACACGGTTTTAAACACTTGGTAAACTCCATACAGACTAATTATTTATGCAGAAAGAGCGAGACGTAAAAGATGAAGTTATAATGCATGCATTAGGCTGTTGCAAGCCAGCCCGACAGATGTTGAAATTGAACGACTTATAAACTACGCGCCGCTAGCTGCGCGTAGTTTTTATAGTTCGCGAACTTGTGAGTGCAAACCGGTTGAGTTTATTCCGGGAGAAATGAAAAGGAAAAACATTCTTTAAGACCAAAATTAACGCCCAATGGTCAAGTTTTTGTCTCTCCAAGGCATACCGTTGCAGAAATTCGTTGAAGATTGGTGAGAGCCAATTAAGCACGTGAGTCTTGAAGGCCAGCGAGAAAATCATTACATGTCCGGACCCGAAGGGCAACAACGCATTGCCACAATCGAGAACCCTTCTCACGAAAGTAGAGCTTGAGGCCTAAGAGCTCCGAAGTCCGTCACGTTTGCTGATAGCAGCCTAATATATGCTGGTGAATGGAACAGACCGAGATTACCTGGATAGATGCGTACACTTTGATGAGGGCAGTTTGTGCACAGACATCATTACTCCAGGGTTTACTCGATTGGTTTCAATCAAGCTCAGGACAATCTGGTCCTGTTTTCAATTCTATCTTCGCCTTAATCCCCCTCGAAACTTGTACATAAATTAAATACCCACTATATTGATGGCTGTTACAGCGCTGAGTAGCCATTATCTCCTTGTATTTACTCTTGACTAGACGTCTTGGCCTCAACTGGCTAATACACATTTCATGTTACGCAGTAACATGCACTTGCGTTTGTATTTGCTATTGCCATCGACGGACCCCAATACCCACTGAAATCTGTTTCTCGATATCCCTTTATATACATATGTACGCGGCATCATTAACCGTGTTATTTTCAAAATGTAGTCATTTGCGAGTACCTGAGAGCGCGTTATAGTGCCATAAACTCGTAAAAAGTTCAATCTATGCACAACGAAGATTCGTGTTTAATCTAGGTACTTCAGTAGTCCTGAAATAACGATTTCGCGATGGAGTTGGGACTAGGTTGATTACAGGGTAAAGAAGCAATAGACGTTGTTGTATTTCTTTTCTAAGTCCACGCTGGAAAAAAGCTGGGAAGAGAAAAAGGAATACAATTGCATTGAGGAGTAATCTGCAGTACGATACAACGGTAGAAATACTGCTTCTTTTTGAAGAAGTACCCCAATGCGCTGAGATGACATGCAATCTGGTACATATGATAACACAGTAATGTATTGAAACTCGTGCAAGTAGGAATTTTATGAATGGCTTGTGAAAAAAATAACGCACCAATAGCGGTAACAACACTTTTCATGTTTGTAGCTGATAGACCAAAAGAGCTACGTTTGTAAATTTGTGTAAATATTCTGTATTTAATAATAAATTAATAAAAATCTAGACAGAATACGAAAAACGAAACAGTAAGGGAATAAGAAGAGAAAAGAGTACCAATTAGAAAAAGTATGTAAGAAATATGTAAATAAAATGGATATTAAGTTTATATAAGAAATATTGCTGTCGTTCTTCTAAGCCGGTTTACTCTAGGTAAAAACATCATGAGGTACGATGCAATAACGTCGCGTAAGATCGTGATAGGAACATTTGTACTTAGTAGTCTCTTTCGGCTATACGTATGACGGAAGTGGATTCATCTAGACAATCAGTAGATTTAGGTAGCATATATTTCCGGAATATGATACTTCATTTAGCGGACCAGTAACAAACTTTTACGTAAAATAGCTATATACAGGGATGGATTGAGCGTGAATATTACGAATTTCCATTTAGAAGATGCCCTTAGTCTGTTTCAGCGCGTAGGATTGAAGTAAAAGGGGCATATAATGTCTTTGATTGCAATTTGTGCAAAAATCATAGCTTCGTTAGCTTGTCATAAAGCACCGTCAAACTGAATCATTAAGTGGTCCTGTGAGTCCTTCGGTTTGAAAATCCTTGCTCGCTCAAACCTGTGACTTTCCTTCATGGTCAAGGGGAGAGATTTAGTTCTAAATCTATAACGATATCGAGGCCCCATCACTAGGTTGTAAGAAGCAGGAGAAATTACATAGATCAGACAGGATTGAAACTGTTGCGCTTTTTACCTAAAAGAATACGTCACCCCTTAGAAAAGTTGCTCCTAACATAGCTACGTATTTGTGCAAAAACTATGGCCCAGATTTTGACGTTCTCAGAAAACGCCATGTGATCGTTTCTGCATAGGCAACAATGAAGCTTTAGCTTCTTTTTATATATATATATATATATTTAGCTTCCATGAAGAAAGTCATATGCAAGTTTGCTTACAGAATTAGAAAGATAAATAAAAAATATATATATAAAAATGAATTAAAGAGAGTACAAAATCTATTATTACGAACTGCCGTCATTTGGAAACAAATCAGCGTACCACATGCTTAGTACAAAAGTAGCTCCAAAGGATAAGAAGACGTGACAAAGAAGATCTAAGTCTAGCAAATTCAAGCTGATGTTTATATCTTATCCCTGTTTCTTATCACAAAGAACCGATCAGGTGGTAGTATACCAATGCCTGAAAACGAAAAGTCGTCGTCCACTGGCTTGTAAACGGTCGATTTTCAAAAAAGTTAAATCCTCACAATTACAGTTAATGTACATTTACCTCACTGACTTGGCACAGAACTCGTTTTTGTATGAAATCAAATTAGTTCCGTAGAGCATGCGTTTAGTCATCGTTTTCATATGAGATGGAGAAAACTCGTGTAATTGATGAGTAAGAACTTTTTGAAGCCGTACTCCGAAAGCAACTCCCACGATAGTCTTCATATAAACCGTAGCTAGTATAGGTGAAAAGTCTTTTTTTAGTGATGAAAAAAGGCTTTTTACTTTGTTTTACATCTACTTTTTTTTACTTTACTTTACATCTAATTTGTTTAGAGTGGAACATATTATAACGATTTACCTTCTGACGTATCTAAAAGAGGCTGTTTAGCTTATTGGTATTTTATTATTATTATTATTAATTTTATTATGAGTGAAGTCAGTGCTACCCTAAACATTTACATCTGTACCACGGTGTCTGTAGTAAACGGTTATTATTCAAACAAATGGATTTCGCAGAGCAGGAGTACTTTCGGTGCTAGTTTTCGCCTAGAAGTTAGAACACTTCCTTTCGCGTATCCTTGCGCATATCTTTGCGTATAAAAGTGACCACGAAATAGGCTGCGAAGCTGCTTTCACTCGTCTTAGTTAGTATGGTAAGGAAAGGAGCTGTGGGAACTACATCGAACCTTTCAAAAATGTCTATTGTGTACTTCAGGCGAGTAACAGGATCTTCGACGTTAATCTAGATCAATGCTTCTCCTAGGGGTCATGTTGAGCCTTTCTGTTTTCTTATTACAGCCTCAGTCAGATCTACGCTAACTGGTGCTTATCGAAAACATTTCAGTTGCGTGGGAGATAGATTGACACAGTCTTTGAATCGATAACCAGCAAAGCGTTAAGCTCCAAATTCAGACCGTCGATGTATGTGTTTTGTCTCAAAACAACAACAATGACGGCCATCTAATTGAAAATAAATAGTATGACTCAGATATGGCTGCGAGTTTCATGTATAAAATATTTTGTTTTTTAATTGCACCACTAAGTGATAGTTTTTGGAGTTGCCTCGGTGGCAAAACGGCCGCTCAGTTTTTTGGTGGACGAAATTAGCAAAAAGGATTTCTAATGTTGACTAGGGCCTAGGTAGTTAGATTACTTAAAAAGAAATCGGCAGATGGGGAAAATTCGACCTTTATTTAAGTTAAATGAATACTGGCTGGCTACCTAGTTGATACTAGGGATTGGTATTGTTGTCGAATAAATAAGACCTTTTTTCAATTTCCGTTCTGTCAATTGTATTGTATTAAAATTATCTGGAATGACAATAGAAAATCTTTGCTAGATCGAAGGATAAACGGAAGGCCTGGAAGCGGACATGGGTGCATTGCGCGTAAAAGCGTTTCTCTGGCGCTCCCAGGAAATGGGATTGTCAATGCACCCGAGATTATACCCGGAAGTCAACTGCTAAGGCAATCGCCGTAAAGATTTTTATAATTATTGTATAATAGAAGAACTATTCTCATGTATTCAAATGTATCTATCTTCGATAGTTACAAGACAATGTGAATTTCATCTATGGGGGTCTTAAAATCGTTCTAAAAGCTTGAACGAGTTCCCATTAAGTTTTGTGAACAAATACGTTGCAAAAGAAGTCCATAAATCATATTACTCTAAACAAATAGTTCCGATACTGGTATGTAACACAGCGAAATGATATATTCGTTCAGGTCTACTGGCAGACGATACTTTTTTTATGGCCAGCCTCCTGTTTACAACACCGAATTTATGTATAGCTATTAACCAAATAGTATACTCCTGCGACATAGCCTTCTATGAAAAGAGAGTTCTAATACAGAGCGCGTAAAGACGAAGCGAGAAAATATTTTAATCACGAAGTTGTAGAATTATTTTATAAATTTATACGATTCTATGCCCAAAAAGACTTCGATACCTGTATAGGTTTCGTCTCATCGAAAAAATGTTTATTCTGTATTGGATAAAGATGTTTTGAGGCTTGCGTTCGTACGAGCTCGATTTAAAATTTGGCGGTCATACTGCATTCGTGTGGTGCCATTGTGTACGCTCTAGGTACAATGTATTCGAAACGTGACATAATCAAAGAGAATAGCAACTTAGTCTGTAGAGAACGTGCCTCTTACTTCGGCATTAGCTTATTTATTTGTGTTTGTTTATGTAGATTATTCGTCGTTAAGATCTGGTGTAATTAGCGTATAATCGAAATTAAAACCAGGGGAAACTGGTCATAGTAGGTTAACTATGAATAACCTTTTAAGGGTTCTGTGAGTTGGTCCTTCGAATGCAGAATTATTTTGGCGTTGCTTTTTCTCCCTGAAGGTCCTAATTAGGCTAGATTATTAACCGTTATTCACCCTATGTGACGTACACGTTTATGTTGCAATAGACAAAGAGTGGGCGGCACACGCGAGGTTAGGTTTAAGCGAGTTCGAAGTGGATTAGCAGCCACACCTAATAATGAGGCGATATATTATACATTTACAGGCAACAAGAGCGCGGACCGCAATACACAACACTAAAAACGGTAGTGTCACACCCATTTGAATGTATACCTCCCTTTCGTTAGCAAGTGTACTTTACCTAGCAAGTAACAACAACTAGAAAAACAGCCATCGCGATTAGGACATTTGCCTGCAGTCAATTTTGTTTCTTTCTTGCCCCTCCCAAGTAAACGAAGTTCTAGAATAGTGAGTTATTATCAGTCCCTCATATTTTCACTCATTTATATAAATGAAGCCATATTTTGGATATTTGACATGACCTCATCAGAAGGCTGTTCTGAAATCAATAGTGAGTAAGAGTAAGTTTAAGATATTTCAAATTTCTTGCAGCCCAATAATGTACAATATATGCATGATTAAAGTTGCTTAGCAGATGGTAGACGAGAGTGGGGAAAACCATAGTAAATTAATCGTGAATGACTTTTTCGCGAGTTTTTTTGTCTTCCCCGACATCAATTTCAAGGCGCCAATTTTCATTAACAAATTTCTAAACATATTTAGGCCAATAAATGCGAATCCAATTAATAATATTTTCCAGTAAAATAAATATAAACATTTATGCAACAATTTAAAATGTCTTATAGAACGTAATACGTTGAAGTCACTATGATTATCGTATGAATATATTACTCTAGTAATGACTGGCGTTGTTCGTCTATAGTGAGTACATTTTTGTTTAATTTACTTTTTTATGAGGCAGATTTCATCTTTTTCCCTGTCCCATTATTATAATACCAGCATAATATATAACAATAGCAGCAGAAAGTTAATAGCACTTAGGGCTGATTTTCAATTAGGACAATTAGGAAGGTATTTTTGGTCAAATCTTACATCAATAAAAATGCGAAGTACTGAGTATACTTGTTCTGCAAGTTTTTTTCAATTCATAGATTATTTAACAGATTTGCATCCCTAAAAGGCTTTCGACCTTGTACTTCTGATCCCATGCAGTTGATTATGAAAGTTTCAGATCCGTCTCAAGTGAGGCAAAGGTTAGACCTTCACTGCTCTTTGCAGACCCGCATAATGATTTTCTATTGTATAATAATAATTAAGGTCGGTCTAGTCAAGAACTTACTTGTTTCGCTTCCGCATGCATGTTATGTTCCCTGATGTTGGCACCGTCGCAGGCGTATTTGCCGTTGTGTGCAAATGACTTTTATGTATTTGTGACGTACGGAAGATCGAGTTAATACCTTGATGTGCTGTTGGCGGACGTCATGTTTAAGCGATTTTTTTCGAATCGCAGCTGATTCAAGTGACACAATTTTGTGTCAATTAACACAATCTTGTGTTTTGATTACAACCACAGTATCGTCAAACGCCGGCACTACTTCTCGGAGGCTGGTTGTGTTTTCGTCATTATTTCGAAGCGAGTTTGTATTTAGCTGCTGCTTTTTTGTAATATCCGCATCGAAGATGTGATTGATGTTGACAAAGGATTTATAGGATCCATGCAATCGGTGGACACGTGCCTAGGACGTGCTTAGGACGTTTGTAAGTTTTGTAAAGCAAATAATCGTAACATTATTATTGTTCAAATACACTTTTATAAGAAAGCTTTTTCAACTTTATTAGGTCGATAAAATTGAAAAACTTACTCTAAATACAATCACAATAACATTCGATACGGAAGGTTTGAAGAGGTGCATTTCTTTACTTAAATCAACTTTTATTTATTGTGTTGACTGCACTATTCGAAACGTGTTACTGTTTAGATTCAAATGATTATAAGGAAAAAAAACATGCATAAAGTAGAAGTAGTAACGTTTTATTAAGTATTTCGTAGGAAATAATGTACATGCCTCTAGGTAAAATTGGAATGAAAATATCGCTCAAAATCAAAGACAGACCATTACAAAGATCACATCGCAGTTTACTGTAGCTGGAAAAAAAAAACATTTCTATTATTTAAAATAATTATTGACATGTGTTTATTTTGCTCAGCTCAGCTTGACTACTATTGTGATATTTCCGTTATCAAATTGCTAGCGATTACTGGTTTGTTAATTAGGATAACAGCACTTCCAGCGTTAAATTGGGCAAAACTTTCTAGATTTGGAAGCTTATAAGCCTATTTAGAACCTAAAATCTAATTAAGTTTCTAGTTTTCTTTATTGGAACATTGTTTATAGATGTAATTCAACGTTACAGGTGGTTTTTATTATGCATCAATAGTAGTCGCTTGCACCGTTATTATTAGGCCACATTTTGAACAATCTTTGATGGTAATACTGTCGTTAGTTACTCAGTGCCGAGCACCTCTTAAACTATGATCCTTTGCGATCAACAAGAGCGCTCACAAATTTTTGTAATACTAACTTTGTTTTGCTTGATAAACATACATATAAAAAGGTAATATGCATAACAAACAGCGTGCATGATGGCAATTTAGGGTTTATCAAGTCATTTAAAGTGTGTCTCTTCTATGATTTAGGCTTATACAGACTGCAGCCAGTAATGAAATCATCGTTTGTCATCATAATCATCATCATCATCAGTGTTGTTTACTTTGTTGGTGAAAAAATGATTGGTCCAAATTAGAAAGATCATTTGGTATGCTGCGTTCACGTAGCCGGTGATTGATGAAATTCCCAATGAATATTGTGAACGAAGAAAGATATACCGTTGGGTGACAGCAATCTTTTTCAAGTTTTATTAAAATATATTTTTATTATTATTAAATTTATATGATTACTTTTATATTCATTTTTCTTGTACCTCAATATAACTTTGAGTTTAGTCTGTATACGTTTCGACGAAGTCTGATATAAATAGAAATTGATGTAAAATTTCATTATCAACTACATCTGCTAGCTGATACGAGCTAATGTGATAACACATGTGCAACCCGAAGGTTACCTAGCTTTGAGATCGGGCGCATGTTTCTCACAGTTTCTGTAGTAATCCAAAGAGACATGTACAGACAGGACAGAGACAGAGGCTGTCATGTGCTTCAGGCTGAGAGTAAGGCCTCAATACCTACTAAGGACTTAATATCTAAGCTCACCCGAATATTCAAAGCTAGCGTCTGACCCGATTTTTTGCCAAACTGAGCTCCAGTGATGACCGGTGACCTGACGAAGTGATCCTTAAATCCCAACTTGCTTAATCACGAGATGCTTATATTTTTCTATAGAAGACGTTTGGTATATTGGATGACACAGTGAATTCGATGAATAAGCGAGGAGGTAACCTATTGTTGGTGAGATGTCGCTCGAGGTTTTCCTCCGGACACTCGTAAAATCTGTTTGCGAACTGTTTCTTCCCCTAAGATCTGTAAGAGCTCTACGTAACGTAGTATCTATTTAGCTTCACAATCTCCGTCAATTCCCTTTATATCGAAAAAATCACTTACCGAAGACCCGAAAAATAAAAAATTGTAGTTAGGTTACTCGGCAGCTAAGTTGCCTTCCTTAGGCCCCTCATATTTTTCATTTTCATTTCTTTTAGGAATTTTAAATCTGAAAAGCGTTGTTGATTTCTTCTATAAAATAGTCATTGCAATACAAAATTTTGATCAAATCAGCTTGAAATTGGCGGGACAGTTTACTATATTTGCATAGTCCTCCTCGTTGGTAAAGTCCTTTGTTGACTTCCGCAATGGTAACTGCTATCATACGTGGCCCTGTAACACCCTAGGCAACGTTCGCATTAAGACCAGGCCCTTATTCAAGCCCATTTTTTAGTATCAAGGTAGAGCTTCGATGCGGCTGTGAAACGTATAGTGTGCACATCTGTGCTATCAGGGCATCATAAGAACAAATCAAAATATTTCGTTTTTTCAACAAAGCTTTTCTTACGTTAGAAGTCGTTACGATGCCGATGAGCGATAATAACGCGTCGTGCCAATGGATAATTTAACTTGTTAGATAGATTTTCTATTCACACAATTTACGTACGCATTTGCCGTTATTCATGGGTCGAATTTTCGGATCACGAGGCTAGCTATTTAAGAGACCCTTTAATAGTTACAGCAGGAAAACGAGGAGTCGGTTAAACAGAATTCGTACATAATATTCGGAAGAACAGCATCATTAAACCTCTTCAACTGTGCATGGCATCAGTTGCGTTAGATAAATTTGTAAATGAATCTCTCCTGTTATCGATTTCTTTATATTTTTTTTTTTAGCTGTGGGCTTATTTTTTTAATCTTATTATTATAGTTGTTCCATCTGCTCACCTATAGTTGCGATTTATTGGCCCTCTTTCACTGTCCTCCATTTATTTTCAGCGTTGTTGTGCTTATCACTTATTACCTGCCCGTATTTTATCCACCCAAAAATCCGTTTAAGATTGCTAATATTAGTAATAGCTGAGATACTACGTGTGAAGTCCAAATTGCAGCGGCAGCTCATCTAATCTCATCTATATTTGCAAATCTCGTACACTTTTCCAATATAACCCCGCAGCAAATACGAGGTGGTAAAGTTAGATTGCAGTTCTATTAGGACACTATTTCTGGTCCTTTCTGCCCTTTGCTTCGTTGTTTCTCCGTCGCCCTCCCGAGACGTCCAGCGTATTGCTCGAAATACTTTATCTAATCTTAAGGTTGGATGGAAGGGGCATCGCGGAGTTGGCGGCAGAAATAAGCGATGCACCAAGCAGTAGACGGCAGTGTAGATGTAAGCGAACAGCGTCAGTCGCGAAGCAGCGCCTGAGATACAACCGCTTGTGGCGAGCGCCTGTCGTCGCGGAGTTTACGTTAGGGAAGCAGGGTATTCAATATCACGTCTAATGGTGATTTTGTTTCTATTCTATAACTGTGTTGTCTGATATGTGTGTGCAGCTTTTTGTCCAGTAAGCAGTTTCAAGTGCAGGGAGAACAAGGAAACGCCGGCGTTGCGCGAAGACATCGACAACCAGCGGCAACCTATCCATAGCGGCCCCGTTGCTCGACGTGAGAACGGCATACAAACTACGCGCTTGTCTCTTATAGGAACTTTGTGTGTCGTGTGCCCAACACGGATTAGTCATGCCAATGATAAGGTGACGATGTGCTACCGTATCTACCTATTTGGTTCAATACGTCACCTTTAGTTACAGTGGTGTGTCTAGCCATCGTGTCCATGGAGTGGAGAGCTCCATGGAACAAAGGTTATTGTTTGTACAAGAAACGAACGTGCGTTACACTGTGACATTGAATTTGGCTCGCGGTTTTAACGGCGATTGAGGACTTCAGACCATTAACGTAACCTTCATACGGATACCTGGTGGTCTTTGTTTCTGGTGATTGTAGCATCGTTCTGTAAACAACTTGTATGACTCTTACGGACGGTAAATAAGAATTTTGGATCATCTCCGATTATTAGCATTGGAAGAAAGAACCAACGTTTTGTGTTGTTACAGGTACTAGATTTCCAGATACTCCCAGCTAGGTTTTCTAACCTGATTTCAAACTGGTTTTCGGCGAAAATCGTTACCCTTCGAAACATTTCATATCTATAAGAGATTTCTATAAGAAATACCTATAAGCCGCCTTTCATATGCTCATCTCAAAGCCTCCATTTAACTTAGTCTCGCTTTGTTATTATTCTAATCTTCAAACTCCAACTGCTCAAGTGATATTTGACATAGAATCTCGAACGTTCGGTAGCCCAGATCTACTTTGCATGCACTTCAGCAGACTGACGCCGGACTTTAATTTACAAGGTCAGTTCATGTATGCTCCACAATAGTTGGCTCCTTCCAGTAGTATGAAACGCAGAATGTCTACGCCCGGAGTAGAACTTACCACCACGTGTTTCTGAATTTAGGAGGGAAACACGTATGGTGTCTGCGGGAACTTTGATGAATAAAAGAGCCTAACTTCGCCCTTTGCAGACAACAGTTTTCTTCATCTTAACAATGCTAAAAAGCAACGCATCCATTTCCTTAATTGATTTTTATTTTTCCTGCGTTTCTGTTTTGTGGGCTTTATCCTGTAATAACTTAGATCTTCGCGCGGTTCACCCTTTTGGAATCGAAACCGTCAGCGCCCTCTATGGCATCTATTGCCACTTTCCTTTTGTGGCGCACACAAGGCATAGGACTACTGTAGGGACTAAGTTTAGGCGACGCCTTCGCGCTGTTGTGGCTGGCGCCCGTCTGTTGTAACGGTCATCGTGTCGGGTAACCTAGACCGGTGTAGCCGGTATAACGACAGCCGAACTACACCCTTCCGCGCAATAATTTCTCGTACACACAGTATATATACGTGACCAGCGACCAGATCAAACTAGACCAGACCAGACGATTTTGAACCAGCACAGAACCCTGCCTCCTTATTAACACTGTTCAAAGCAGCAGAGGCAGTCGAGAACTGCCGCAATGGCAAGAAGTACCCGTATTGCATTGATGCCGATTACCAGTGGCTGTGATAGTAACCACGAAATTATCAGAAACACGAGTGGCAATCATTACAGTTCCTGCGCGTAAGGCAGCGACGTTACGACAATCGACAGTGGCATAGATGATTCATGGTAATGGTCTCGCGCAGTGCTACAGGCGACAGCAGTTGTAGACAGGCGAATTTTCTATTACGATCAGCTATGTATTACATATATGCACACATGTATAATGTATAAATGTATATACACACTTAAGGCACACGCGTGTTAAGGCAAGCGTGGTCAGTTGACGATGCTGCTGAGCTGAATGGTTATTGTGCATGTGGTGCCTTCTCCTGCCGGGGATGGCTACACCACTCGACTCAATTTCGCGGAGGCTGCTAAAGCCAAGTAGGACATAAGCCGCTGTGGAAAATTTTTTATGCAACTGTTGCTGTTGTTCGATATTGTTGTTGTGGTCTGTGCCGTGCGATGTTCAGAGTGCGTCGCACACTCGTTCGCAGCGGTCAGCCCTGTTAGATGTACGTGCCGTAGGGGGCGTCCGTATCGTAACTGTTGTTTGTGGAGAACGTCTAACCGTCGATGTGTTTGCTGTCGGCTAATTTCGACCGAAGCTTCTGCTAGTGCTATTGTCATTATATATATATATATATATTATTATAACTTGATTATATGATTGCCATTACAGTTGCTTCTTAGATAGAGACGATACGGCTTGCAAAGTGAGCTTAATATATATTGCTACTGGTGTTCTTACAGTTAGCTGTTGCTGCGTACGGTCATCAAAAGCGTGCTTGTGCCGACGAAAAATTGTAAGGGCAACGTTTTACTAGAGTGGGATGTTTCTCCCTTGAAATCGTTGTCAATGGATAACATCACTACTCAGTGTATTACATTGTCTACACAGTGCATGGACGTATCGTATCATCACTGGCTGTTATCCTTTCATCAGCCTTTTTTTTTTATAAAATACGTTCGCATCATGTACATATATATAGTAATTATCGGACATTTCCTGGTTAATAGTCAGCTCCGTGCAGCGTTACATGAGCTGCGGTATTGCAATTCCGGCTGAGTGGGCTGCAACACGGGCCGCAGCAGGTGACAGCGATCGAATATTCCTAATGTCGAGCGGTAGTGAGAAAATTTTGTCATTCAGACTGGTAAACATAACTGCTTCTACCTACTGGATACAAAAATTATTGGAGCTTTAATTTTCTGTACAGCTGTTAGCTACGCAAGAATTAAATGAGTGCATGTGGCACCGTGTGATTGAAGCTAGTCGAAAATAGTTACTGGGTAGCCGGTATTCACGTCAACCAGCACCAGGTATCAGATTGGGCTTTGACACCATCTTGTTAATTACGCTGGACACGAACGACGGATTCATGAAAGCTGGCTCGCTCATGGCCTGTTGATGTGATGGACTTGTTTTTAGATGTCAAGCCTTAATTTCATATCGTACCTACCCTTATACGAACAGATTTGAGTTTTGCTTATGAATGCGCATAGGCTGCTATATAGTTCGAGCCCAGATCTCATTTGTGCTCGGTCTGCTAGACCAAATCGGGGTTATATGGTTTAATACGAACGTACCATATAACTCGTGAGAACATTTAAAATGTGTACTTTGTCAGCTTCTAAATATTCTTTGTGTTTTGCAACCGATTTATCGATCCAAGGCCGAAAGATAACGATGTGTACTCAACATGTAAGTGTGTAAGCAGATTGAGCTAGTAAGCTCGAGTGATATTGCCGTATCTGTTTGCCTTTGAGGCGCCCATTGGATACTTTACCTCTATTACTCCAAGTCAATGCGAATTTGGTCTGTCATCCATTTCGATTGCTTATAAGTATTGTGCGGATTTGTGCGAAATGTACATTTTCGGTCTAGTTTCTTACATGATTGTTAGCAATTCTATAGGCTAGCAGTTAGTTTTGACTACATCGCTGAATTCCTCTCGCTCAACCGTCTCTCCCTTGAAGTTAAAAAATATAACCAAAGCGTAAATCGATACATAGGTGAAAAGTGAGGGTCCAATTAGTGGTTTCAAAACAAAGTTTTCACTTGCTAGTGATTCTTGCTAATTTCTGTGCCCTATATTGCGCCGTATGATTATCTCCTTAGGTGGTGGTGTCAAGGGACCTTTAGAAAGTGGCTACCGCCGTTTGGTTTCAACGGATCACGACCGTGTGCGATTTGTCTTGCAGTTCCTGATTTGTCGTACGATTGATTTACTAAAGCGGACTTGATACACAGTGAAAATGGGTTTGCTATCGGAGGGAACCCCCCTAACCTGGAAGGAGGTACAGAAGTATTGTGAGCATGTGAGACAACACGCGATCATACAGTTCATCAATCAATACAATAGGCTCAAGGATCGACAAAACGATTGTCTCAAGTTCGGCGATGAAATCGAGTATATCCTTATCAAATTCGACGATGAAAACAAAACTGCAAAGTAAGTGCCCATGTATGTTAGTTTGTGCTGATAGAATAAAAGTGGTCATTATGCGGTACCAAGTAATGTCGTCCTGTCTTAATGCGGAGTGTACGGTGAAATCATAAGACTCGAATGACCACATCAGTTCTAAACCTTGAAGATGGCATACGTGCTTAATGTGACTGGTAAACACCTTTGGGATATAAAATGATTAGTATAAAGTCTGCTCCAGAGAAATGTTCATTTCTCGGTAACCCCTTACTGGCCAATCCCGGTGTATGATATAGTAATAAAAAATAGATGAACTTGGGTTGTTATTTGTGAGGATTGCCCGGGCCTTACGTGTGATCCCTTGCATGACAAAGTGTCCATCTTGGACGGCACGTATTGATCCTTGCTTTTACCACATACCGCTCGATATAAACAAGAAACCTGATACGAATAAAACAATATCAGGACCTGTTCTGCTGTTACAAGAGCGATGCTAAGCTGGGTTCTAGTTGTTACCAAGTGCGAACCCACAGGTCATGTTGCCAGACATTGCCATAATTAGCAATACTGTAGGTTTTGCTGAGTGTGATTTCCGGTGAATCAGCTATTTGCAGAAATAACAGGTTTTGGTCAGTCAGCTTTTCCATTACATTGACCTTGTTTGACCTGATTTCAGCTAAAGCAACTCCGCTAATGGGCAGTGGATATGAGTCCTGACTTCGATTTAATCACAATGATTAGCGAGTGAGAAAATGGTAGCTATCAAAAAAGTGGGTGTTCTTACGGTGCGTGTAATTATGAACAGATGTTCATGAGGCGTATAAAAGACAATCAGCTGAGTAACTTTGCTCTCATCAAAAAACACTTGGACAAACCATATCAATCAAGCGGCTGTAGACAATCGCTTTGAATAAAATCTGTCGGCTTTGCAATAAAGCGCTTTTCCCATTATCAGAAAACCCAAGCTGTTTATAAGTTTTAATTTGGTTGTATTATAATGGTGTCAAGGGCCGTTTGCCCATACATCATGGTCTCAACTGCCAATCTCAATTAAGTCTGGCGTTCGGATTCTTTTTCTATAGATTTACTTGCTGCTATTCATAGGACGGTGCCGTATTGGTATAGAGAATTTGAGACTTCCTGAGTAATTCTTCACTCTGCTTTGATTTGTTTCAGTCGTTTTTATTGTAACTTCTAGAAGTTGCCGTACCTTCCCGAATTGTTTACCTTGAGAAACATGAGTGAAGCAGCAGAGCATTTGTTCCACAGTGCAAACCTAACAATAAGTTATCACCCGCTAGCAGGTGTATGGCGATAGGTCGCGTTTATCAACTTCTCAGATCGTTTGCGACTTCCGCAAACGAATAGAAAAATTGAACAGGAGGAAACTATTGGGATGATGACACTTCTGCTGTTGCGGCGATAGCTGAAAAATGCCTGTTGTTGACGCTTTGCTGGAACTTGACTATACATGTCGGAATAACATCTTTAAAACGATGCCACCGTTGCGTTACGAAGTTTTATAGACACATATTCTGTTGCTACAAGTTTGTTACTGCTCATATTTTTATTTCGTATTTGGATTGAAGCCCTTAGCAACGACTATAGATGCCGTTTGCTTTGTATTTTTTTTGTTGCCTTACCTGTCAAACTATTTTAGTAAACAATCATGGAAAACACTATTGAAACAAATAGAAAACTGTAAAAATATTCATGAAGTGTTGTTTATGATCACCAAATAGATGAAGCCAATTACAAATGAGCCATGCGAGCGTCCCCGAAGTATCCAATAAAGGCAGACGCGAAACTTACTGAACATCATGTTTCTGCATTATTAAGTAGAGTTCATAAAATGATCTGTGTTCATAAAGCCGTGTATTTACCCATTCGAAATGAATGTGTCTTTTTCTATGTGGTCTTCTCTGGACCTCGATTGAAGGTCCGTTATAAAAGTATCTGCGACCTTCCAAAGCTGCTTCAAGAATAATCTAGGATGCAAGAAAGGCATCCATATCAATTTTTGTTTATAGCGTTCCAGCAAATGCGAGCGTGACTGTCTCACAAGCTTGTACGCTGTCAAATAGGAACTTCGCGGTTTGAGGCCTGCCATTAATGTCTTTTCGATGATTATAAGTCAGAGGCGTTTGCTAGTTCATTTCTAGTAACATAGTCGATCAAAGGTCATGTTTCTCTGATAAGGGTCGTTGGAAAACTCTTAATTATTCAGCTAAAACAAATACCGGGGTTGTAAATGAAACTATGTGACACATGCATCTACGCATAAGACCTATACTGATAACTTCTTGCAAAGGCCTTTTTTGGGAGACAAACGACTAACTGTTAGAGGAGTTAACGGCAGAGGTGCTGTCATAGGGAAACGACTGGCGAAAACAATTACATTGAGGTTAACACATTCGAAATTATTGCTCTGGATGTTTTTTGTTCACCATAAATGGATAGGAGGACGGGTTGCAAGGAGAAATCGGTAGTTTTGCTTAAATCCTGAAGGATCTATTTTTATCTACATTGGTTACTAGTATATTGGAGCTAACTAGAATTCCCGAACGGTTTATTCGCGTCACTTCTATAGGATTTCAAACGTAAGAAAAGGAAGCACTTCGCAAAAGTTAAGTGTAACCTGCATAATCAATAGATTAATTGATGAATGTGATCATTGCGAAGGGAAATAGTCTGTTTCGGTAAAGCAGATCCGTGGTGGTGTGGACAGTGTAAAGGGCATAAAGGACTCTACTCTCTAAGAATACTCCAAACAGAAAACATGAGTAATCGATTTACTACAGTCAGTAGGATCGACGTAAACAGATCTCGTAATAGCACGACCTTGAAGAATCGTGGAGTGATTGTTTTTTTTGCTGTTATCCATTCACCGCGCATACGGACAATCTTCGTGTCCCTGAAAAGAACCAATTTATCCTATTACATAGGTCACAAAAACGCATTACATCGGAAGAGGAAGTTAACTTCCTATGTGTGTGTCTGTGTGTGTGAGTGTGTGTGGGTGTGTGTGTGAGTGTGTGTGGGTGTGTGTGTGTGTGTGTGTTAACAGTGGCCACTAAAATGGTGGTTTGATGGATCGGTCAAATAAAGCTTGCATCAGAAGTACTAGTAAGCTTTTTAGGGAACAGTGCCTCCACCGCGGCGGGAACGAATTTCGAATGTACTATAAGCAAGAAGTGTCGCGGTCAAACTACTTAGAACTGATAAATTACAAACAAAGTATCATGGTTCTGAATCTGACGCCGTACTCAGTTTGCTATTGGAGAAGTTAAGATTTTTAAATTCTAATGTGAGAGATGCTTAGCAGTGGATCCATTAAAGCAAAACAAATTTCAGTAAAACAGTAAAATAAAACCCCTTGGAACGGCACTAAGAGCCACGGGTAAGCACATTTTGAAGCCGCAGAGACCTTTGGGCTGCAGAAGGCATAAGCGTTTTCTTGATGATGCAGCGATTAACACCAGCTAGATAACGATTAATAACCAAATACGTAATAACGTGAAACAAACCTCGAATCTATCTTTGGTTTTTGGTCGACTTCGTGTTCCTCCGTAACGTTAAGCGACGAGGTCCTATGACTCGAATTATATATTGCGAAAAGATCATATCTGCGACGAACCCTGGAACCTACTTCTAGCAACATCTTTTTAAGCTGTTTATATATTGCAGAAGCTCAATTCGGTAGATTATGATCGGTGAAACCTGAAAATAGCACGTTTTGGTAACCAAAATAGTTTTTGTGTGCTATGCTTTGATACATAACATATGGTGTAGATGAAATATTTGCTTGCTCTGATAGAGAAACAATGTATTTAACCTAACGTACTTAGTAGTAGTCAGTAACTTAACGAATTGAATCTTATGTCAGGCATGTCAGAGTATACACGAATCTGAGTTCGATCAGTTGCAGATGCACACCTTCACAATTGCCCATTCTCTGAGGTCGTATCGTTCTGTCTTATTCTCTCTACAGATTGAATAAAAAGAGCTCGTTATGTTTCATGTAGAATACATTATAGATATATACAAGAATAGAAGCCGTATTTACGGAGTAGGCTTCCGAGTCTCTGACTTAAAGCTTTAAGTTATTTAAGCTTTTTTTTAATTCCAGATCGGAAATTGTATCTTTATTTGTTGTTTTTGTCTTTATTCTCATTTTACGTCAGCGAAACGTGCAGTATATCATTATTTGCTAATATAGACTAATGAACATCGGCCTAGCAGGTAAAGCTTTAAACGGGGAATGACGTGTTTGAGATATTTGTAGTTCATTTCGACCTGCCTGGTAACGTCTGTTGATATTCAAGTTTAGTCTTATAAGTTTCCAGATAACTTATCGTTCTCCGGTGGTTGGGTTCGACGAGCAACAAAATTAAATCAACTTAATAAATAAAATTAAAATTAAGTACTTTTTCATTGTCAAGTTTTTATAGGGTATTTTCACATCTAAATTTTTTTAGCATCGTTTATTGTGGCTTTGTTACGACCCAAAAAGATAAGAAAATTAGATATGTTAACACTGTAGTAATTTAATACATAATAAATCGAATACTTGATAACTATAAATTATAGTATATGATCATATTTGTTTTTAATTTTTAAATGTTTTAATTATATTAAATTACAGCAATTATTCCGAAATCAAACTATCATAGCTCTGACGTGAGATGCATGTTGTAGTATTATGTGCAAGTCTGCTTTGCATTGACGCCCGGTTCTATATCATTTAGACTTGTTAATAGGGCCCGACAGGGTGATGATTGTTTTAAACTGGAAAGTTTCTATCTATGTACGAAAAAAATCTTCAGTTTGACGTAGAATCTGTCTATTCTTCGGTTTATTGGGGTGGTTAGGTCCCCGGTTGCAAGCGACCGGTTTGTTACGCTAGAAACCCAATAAGGTCGTGGCACATATCGTTGGCTGAAATAGAGCGAAAAATTTTTTAACAATGTTTGTTTCTCGTGCATCGAACTTCAAAATAGTAAGAAACGTATTGGGATCTAGTAATTGGATTTATTACTATGCATATATATGTGCAATGGACAGTCCGAATTCAAAATATTAATTTATTACTAGATTCCAATAGCACTTAGCGGCCATGTAAGTTATTACGTGTTAAGTGCCGTTAAGAGAACTGCGTTTCAAAAAGGGTTAATAGCTCCTCGATCGTATCTATAAACTCAACAGACATTCATAAACGATATTAATTTGAAGAAAGATCAGCACATGCAGTGATAATATAATGTAAATACTGCTATTTTTTCAATATGGCAAAAATAAAGCTTATAAATATATATAAATATAAAAATAAAATAAAAGAATATATTTTTCATGAGTTATTTTATGAACGTATGAGCACTTTTCAACTTTTTCAAAAAAAAAAAGCAAACCCAGGTAAATTTGTTGCAATTGAAAAGATAAAGTTTTTAAGGGACGTAGAGAAAAAACATGTAACAGAAGATTCAATTGTGAGCTGACTGAGCTTGGTTCCATTCTTTTCTTTCTAGCCCATTTTATGCTTTTTCGCTTAAGAACGTGTAAAAAAACGACAAGGTTTTACTGGCTAAGTCTCGCACCGAGTTACCATAATAGTGCAGTTGTAACTAAAAGGCGCGTGATGTGGTCCAGGTTCGAATCCGAGTGTAGTCAGTTTCGTTTATGTGCTAAAAGAAACTAGCCGTTTGAAATAACGGTGAAACTAACGGTTTAAATCCAGGACGCAGAATTAAAAACACCTCGTAGGTGTTGCAACGGATCAGAAGCAATGGATAGACGGAGATGGGGCAGAAAATTATCAATTGCCTTACAAACTCTGTACCAGATCGTTGTTTGTTCAACTCACGGGTTGCTTATGAAGTGTAGTGTGCAACCTGAAGTAGTTTAAGCCGATTTTCTTTAAGGATTGATTCATAGATCTCGATAAATAACTTGTCAGGCGAGTCGATGTATGGGAGATCTTCGTATTATGGGTTGAGCAAGTTATGCACATACATATATTTTAATTAACAGATTATTTGATTTACGTGGCTATGAATTACAGGAGTGAAGTTCTGAGGGGAGGTGAAGTTCTTAACGGTATCTTGTGGTGACAGCATACACAAAGAAGGCAACCTAACTAAGTTCATTACGAGTTAGTTAGATATTTGAAGTGGGATTTACTTTTTGCTTATCGAAATATCAAGTTGAAGCTGATTTTAGCCTTCTATGCTTTCCTGAACGAAATTCACAATATTTCCAATTAACACAACCACAAGAATAGATGTCATTAACAAGTATATAGCATTTTTCGCTTATTATTTTTTAAGTATGTAATGTAGACATACGTGTCAGATATTCGTCGTACAGTGCCCTTTGCATGTAAGGGTCGCTTTTCGATTTTAGTATCTGACATGACGTACACAATTGTAACCCTGCTACAGGTTGAGTCTTCGTGCGAACGAACTGCTTCCAGTACTACAACAAGAAGAGAAGACAAATCCGACAAAATGCAAAAGTCTTTGGCGACCGGAATTCGCTTCATATATGATAGAAGGCACTCCTGGCCAGCCGTACGGGAGTCTGTTATCGCACCTTAACGTTGTCGAGTCAAATATGCGAGACCGAAGAAAATATGTTCAAAGGCTCCTTCAGGTTTGTCAACAAAAGTTCACCTGATATATATATATATATATATATATTTTATATATATATATATATATATATATATATATATATTCGTTGTACAGCTATAGAAGGAACAACCAGGTTACCGAGAGATGTTTCATGCTGTGTGTATATACAAATAGTCATAAATCAATTTATACATGTACATATATATATGTGTCGGCTAGAGGTATTCTATTATATGGATCGTATTTATTGCACTCATTCGGAACAATTTGAAGGGTTTAAATATATGCTACTTGTTCATCTCAAGAGTGGAATTTCAAACTAGTGGAAGTTGAAAACAAATTTTAATATTGGTAGATTTCGACCTATAATAAAGCGCATAGTAATATAAAAGCGAGCTCGATGAGTTAACGTGATCAATTAGAGATTCTAAAGACCGATTCGTTTTACCTATGAATCATTGTGCCAGGCTTTGCTGACAATAAGCTTATATGTATAAAAAATATATGGTGCACTGCATATTGTGATGTAATTCACGATGTGCTTAACATCTTTTAAGGCAAATGAACACCTGATGTGTTTGACGACATTCCCTCGACTGGGCCGTGGAACCTTTACGTCACCTGCATTTAAACCAAATTGGTCAACATCTTACCTTCAATCAATATCGCTCCCTGATGAAGTTGTCTTTCAAGGACATCCGCGCTTTAAGACGCTCGCCCGTAACATCCTTGAACGACGTGGCAAAAAGGTCAGATATATATATATACGCATTATTTACATGAGGCTGGTGAACTTCGTTCGGTGGAGTTCGGCGGGCGCGTATGTTCCATAGCGGGGCTTGATTCAGTTTATTGAAATGAAATACTGCGATAGAAGTGTAGTGTAAATTGTACTTGTGCTTCGCTCAATATTGAAGGTGGCCATCCATGTGCCGATCTTCAAGGACGAGAAGACCCCGAGTCCATTCATCGAAGAAGATTTTGGCGACCCAGATGCGAAACAGGCAATCAAGCCTGATCATATCTATATGGACGCCATGGGCTTTGGTAAGTTTAGGACAAACGTACGTGTCGAATTGTTTATATTTATGAACTCACGCTATGGAAGCGGTTGGTTAAAATGATTTCAGTCAGCATACCTACGTTGCGTTAAAGGTCTAGATATGGCAATGAGCCAAAGTTGGCACCGTTTACGGAGTTCGTTTTTTAGAATTTTATATATTTTGAAAAAAAAACAATTGTTTCAATAGAAAATTTAAAATAGAAATTTTATTTATTTTTTTTATTTAATATTTTGAGTTTTCATGTGAATCATTAAAATCAGCCCAATGTCCGCGTTCAGTTCTGACCAGTCTGGCAGTAACTTGTAAAGTATTTTAAATGGTACTCACGGTGCGACGCACGGAGGTTTTGGCAGGCGTATTGGTTGGTTAACAAGTTTTACGACTTCATTCCTCCGTGTGTCGCCTCTATACGGAAATCTTTGCGATGTGCGGGTTGACAATGAATGCTAGAGTCTATAGAGGGGTTCTTCAGTTTGAGTTGTCATTACCTGTCCGATGTGATTTTTGGTGCCTGTTTCGTGCATTAAAGAAGTTGATTGCAAATCAATATAAAGATAAATACAATCAAGAACTAATATTAGACGTCGATGTGCGTACTCTTCGCAGGAATGGGCAACTGCTGCCTACAGGTAACCTTCCAGGCATGTAACATTTCGGAGGCACGGCGCTTGTACGATCAATTGGCGCCAATCTGTCCTGTAGTGATGGCGCTCAGCGCGGCCTCACCTGTATTCCGTGGATACCTGGTAGATCGGGACTGTCGTTGGAACGTTATTGGTTCGTATTTTGCTATGGCAAATAAAGCAAGTTAACATATCGCGAATCTCCTTAGGATTTAAGGTCAACACTTTGACTTTCACAGGTGACTCGGTCGACTGTCGACGAGACGACGAAAAGCAGCGAATCAAAAAATCACGCTATGGAACTATCGACTGTTATATCTCAGATAAAGGCGAGCACTTTAATGACATCGAAGTCGTATATAACAAAGAATACTATGATAAGCTACGCGCTAATGGAGTAGACCACCTCCTAGCACAGGTTGGTGTCTTTTACGTTTATTATGTGAAACCACGTCAAACATTTACCACACCTCAACAACAGCTTCGAGCCAAAAGCAATTTTGCCTCTATGTGAGCATCAAGGCCCTTCATTATGTACGCAACAGTACTCACATTGTCCATTATGATTTAGTTAAAATTTGCTATTTGATGAAATTGTGCCTAAATAGAATATTTGCAGGATTTTTGGGTACGCTGTTGTCATGGAATTACTGAAGCATTGTTAAAGAACGATAATCTGAGTGAACACATGTATTCAGTAGGATGCTCTGAACATCGTGCAGGTAAATCGAATCGAGAGTCGGACGGAGCTAAGTACCATTCTAATTGAATCACACAATGGGCTACCGATTCTCGGTCGACGAGTTTCAAAACCGAAGCACTCAATCGGTTCTACTTCATGCCGTTCGTATAGCCAATTTTTAACCAGTCAGAATCATCGACCTTATCAGCTCTTGTTTTGTCAGGGGGCGTGTCGTTTCTCCGCTATTCACCCGCAGATCGCCGTCAGTCAAACGTTCCATGTCAACGTGATGAAGAACCTGAAACACACCGCATTCTACTGAAGAATTCTCTAGAAGTTCCCCCGAAGCTGTTTAAAAGTTGTAACAATATTTTTTTCGCTTTATCTTCACGATCCCGCATCAGTGAGCACATACAGCAAAACGGAGCTGGTTTTGCCTCTGTTTTTGCAAAATAGACATTTCTGCTGGTGAGATGCTTAACCCAGTTATCGCTCTCTGGGTTTTAATGAAGCACGTAAAAGTCAGTCAGTACTTTTGTTCCATCATAACGCTATGTACGGCGATAAAGTGACTACATCTGGCTACGGATCAATCGAATCTCCTCCTTCGAGCCGAAGCATTTTTCTTAGGAACATCTTGTGGCGAACAAATTTTGATGCTAATACTATTAGCCTTAAAATTGTGTACGGTAAAATAAAGATGATCATACCTACTCATCAGGCATCATTTACGAGTTGTTGACGTCATTAGTTATCTTTTCCGCGTTAATTTGCGGGAACCAAGCCCGAAATAAATCTAGATCGATTAACACTGTAACAATCCATATGTGTATCTTGCTTTTAGCACATTTCGCACCTGATGATTCGAGATCCGCTAGTCATCTTTGAGGAAAAGATCGACCAGGATGACGCACGCGATACGGATCATTTCGAGAATCTCCAGTCGACGAATTGGCACAATATGCGATTTAAGCCACCCCCGCCCGAGACATCAATCGGTTGGAGAGTGGAGTTCCGACCGATGGAAATCCAGACTACCGAGTTCGAAAATGCGGCCTTTACAGTGTTCATTGTTTTGCTCTCCAGAGTTATTATATCCTACGGACTCGATTTTCTAGTGCCCATCTCTAAACTTGGTTGGTATAGAACAATTTTATCATTGATTGATTCCGATTGTCGTTTAAGTGTATTGTGGAACGACCCGGTCGTTCGTCTTGAAATTGTGTTATTATTTGAAATTAATAATGTACGAAAAGTGCAGCTGTATTGCAGTGTAACGTATTGAAACACAATCACATTTAATAAAAATACAAGGGAAAAGCGCGGGGGGGAGGGGGGTTCGTAGCACATGTGTGAATTTTTACATGTCTCTTGCAGATGAAAATATGGAAGAGGCCCAAAAACAAGATGCTGCACGAAAGAGTAAATTCTGGTTTCGACAGGACGTTATCCTTGAAGGATTTGGACTCAATGGGGTGCACCACGAGGATGGTACGACGAGGTGTGTGTAAACTCAAAATTTGTTTGAAACAAAATCAAAATATATTGGTATAGTATAGGCCTTATAAATTACAATGTATTTAATTTATAAACGAAAAGTAAATAATGAAATGGGGAAATAAACAAGGCATAATTATAGTTTAATACTGATCATCATTATATTTCAACGGAGCAGGCACTGGGATGTCCTGAGTATTGTCCATAGGGCCAAGCAATTATAGCATTAATGCTACCTGTGCGAGTCGTCAAGTCTAATTTCATTATGCTTCTCCGCAATGGGTGCACCATATTTAGACTTTAAACGCATACGCTCTGTATGTGCGTATATCTGCAGGGATAATTTGACTCCAGAAACAGCTAGAACAAATGGTCATCCAACCCCCTGTATAGTGAAGATGACCGCAGATGGGATAATGAATGGGACCGAGTCATTTCCAGGCCTGATCCCGCTGATCAAGAAGTATCTCAAGTCAATGGAGGTCGATGTTGACACGCAATGCACTATTGCGCACTATCTCAACCTTATTTCGAAACGGGCTAAAGGCGAATTCCTTACCACAGCAACATGGATCCGGCAATTTATATTGAGCCATTCGGACTATAAGAAAGACTCCAAGGTTTGTGGCTCAGTTCTCCACGTAGGTTTGCAATTTACGTTTAGATGGGAATTACTTGTTATGCTGTAATGCGTTTCTGTAATTTTTTCTTCTGGTCTTCTACTGTTTATTCTGTAACGTAATTGTTCTTTGAATTTGCCTACAGGTGAGCGAGCTAATTACGTACGATCTGACGCATCGTCTAGTCGAGATCCAGGAACAGAAAATCGATGAACCTTCACTTTTCGGCGAATGGTGCTCGAGGTCGAAGTCGCAAGTGCCTCGAGCAGTTCTACGTAACCAGTGCTGTTGAAGAGACAGGTTTCCCGCATAGCAAAACAGGACAAGCTAACCGTATGGAACCTCAAATGAATCAACTGTGGCAATCAGCACTGCTGAAGAGACAGGTTTCCCGCATAGCAAAACAACACAAGCACAACCTCAAACGAATCGACTGTGGCAATCAGCATCATACTGCAAAGCTGCTGCGAAGCCTGTGATGACGCACCGACTTACAGCTGGTTAAAGGCCAACAGGCAATTTCGGACATAGGCCTGCGGGTATATATTACTCGGAAGGGCTGGCAAGACAAAATATTGTATTGGGTAGGTTTGTACAAGCAGATTATTCTTTACTTTTGCATTTGGCCACCGTCCTGCCTGATTGTGAAAATATACGAAAGCAATGCTGTGATTAGCTACCGTCGGAGCATCCTGTGCCGAGGATCGAGCAGGTCCTTCGCTAATCATTGTTATGGCAAAACACGGATATGACAAATTATAAATTAAGTAATGAATTTTGACGTTGACACAAAGAAACTCTCGATGTATCTATTATTTGACCGCAGCTATAGTGTTTGTTTACCAAGAAACAAGATACATTGGCGCGAGTTGTTTGTTGGTATATGAAATTTTACTTTCCCGGTTAAGTAGATCTTAGCACAGAGTCACATACTATATGCGAGCGTTATCATGAGCAATTAAAGCAGCTTAGCAGAAGACTTACTCCATCTTGGCTATGAGCCTACGAAGTGGTGGGTAGTAAAAGCAGAGATAGGTAATGCAGGCAAGTGATAATGGTGTCGAAATAATGCCAACGAGGTCTTTTTGGGGCTACACCGACCCCCCGTAGATAAAATGGCGTATTTCTACTGTTGTTGATAAATATGTATGTCAGCTGTATGTAGGTACCTTCAGTGGTTTGCCTGATCGCAGATACCAAAATACATATTCAGAGTAGGGATACATGCGTCGCCATATATCCGTATGCTGTATTCTCGTTTAGCGGCTTGTTTGTTTGTTTACCTGTCCTTTGATAACGAATAGAGCTCACCTGTAAATATTGATCTGCCGGAAAAACCAACTTTTAACGAGGCAACCAACGTATAATGATTCTTGCCACCGGATAAATTCTAGAGTGTACGCAGTGACGGAAGATGGCAAAATCAGTAATAGCAATCATTATATTGTGCGAAATGTCTTCTGATTTTTTTGGTTATTCGCCCTTATTCTTGCCCCAAACTGGGTTTGCTGTACTGCCATGGCAATACTTATAATACGATTGTGTTATAGAACGACACCAAACAATGTGTTGGAATAAACTATATAGAAACATCCAGGTAGATATGTAAGACATGCTACACCAATAGTCCCGCGACGATCGAAAGGGACGAGACTAGCTGTTAAGGCTACGTTGTTGTACGCAATTCGATTCGGAAGTATTCGAAAAAAACTACTGTTGTTGAACCAATGACGATCAATCCTATCCGTTTAATATAGCTTTTGTGCTTTCTGACGTAGCTAAATCAGCCGTCAGTCCAGTCTCAATTATTAAGAAGGATTCGACAGTAACTTGCGTTATTTTTGAGTATCGGATGCTACAAATAATCATGGCGGCTTGTTTGCAACAGGCTTTCCTATATGCTTATTGTGAAACACCAAATTGTAATTAAGCGATATTCATTTATGGCCGTGACAAAACAAATAAACGTTGATAAATATGCTACAGTAAGCTTACTTGTCGTTATTTCTTAAGTTAGAGGCAGATTTCTGGATGCAATTCTATATTGAAAACTATTGGCTATTCAATCAAAGTTCCGTCTAGTTACACAGATGTAGAGACCCTAGAAGATCTTGTGCGATTTCCCATAACCGAAATGTTCATGGAGCTGATTTTCCCATAGACAAACTAGATTAAATATTGCACAACAGGGGGAAAGCTAGCACGGTGAGATGATAGCATAGGCATAATGTTCATGCAGACGTTACCAAGTCTGTCAAATTAGACCCTCCGTGTGCGACTGTCATAGTGGCTGATAAGCGACCTGTGACGACTGCGGACGTCGTCAGCCTCGTTCGTGTTGCTGCTGGCCTGCACCTGATGACTGAAGTTTGCTAATCGTAAGAAAAAGAGCGGCATCGCTCCAGTTGTAGCTGCATTATTGCGCGTCATCTTGGTGGGGATCTTCGGAAATGAATCAACGTGGCGGTTCAGTGAAGCACATACTGCTACTCCCACGTCTGCTCAGTCTTCTACGTATATGCAAACGGCCTGACGACGCCAGAGGCCCATCGCTAATATGGCTAATCTAGGTACGCTTGTCCTCAGCAGCGCTTTCCGTGACGTATACAGCTCTCCGTATTGAAAGCTTCGTCTCAGATGTCGAACGCGCAATACGAAACGAAGACTGTTCGGAGAATTGACTTTCCATATATCTGGTTATTGTCGGGTGGCTGGGTCATCGCTGCTGCTTTGTAACTCGAATACAGAACTGGCAAATCAAAACTTTAGCAATGTTGCTACCAGACGTTGTTGTAGCCTGCTCATCAAACGAGTACTACCCAATAAATTTGGTAGAATTTAATTCGCATTGTCAATATATTCGCACGCAAGATATTATGTCTGCCGTTGTAAAGATGACCGTCACATTTCGGTGCAGGCCTACGTGCAACTAGTTAGTCCATCTTCTGTCGTGCGTTCGTTAAGCGCTTTACTGGTAAAGCGAAAAGCAACAGGGCTGCAAATGGTGGACAGTTCGCATAGAAATGAACAATAACTAATGCGCAGTCTAGTTTTTTCACGACATATATATTCGATTTGCAGGTTAAGATCAACAAAATGCTTGTAAAGTAAAAGGCTGCCGCCTAAACAGGCGGCTTATATCGAGTGGCTCGTAACGTGTAGGACTCGATTTTGCTACACATTGCCCCACCTACACACAACTGTTATGGATGAGTCAGGATTTAGCATTGTATATGAATTAGAAGAGTGCTTTCGATAGACTAACTTGGCGATAGACTAGATAGGCAGCACGTTAGACTAAAATAGTTTTGCTATTCTTTAGACAATCGTTTTTAGCGGGTCAGAATGGACAATGACACATGTTCGGCAATTTTCTGTGTTTCTCATTGGAACTATGCTTCTTCATGTTACAATTGTATTAGTAGTTAGTAAAAGGACCTCTACTGAGATGTATTACTGAGATGGGTAGTAATGACCGACGGGTATGTAAAAAAAAGCGTAATGCTTTGAAAAGTCCGCTTCCGGTTATAGTTACAAAACTTTTTTTCTTGGTTCCTTATTTCTGTTGTTGTTACGGGAAACTGGAAAAGTATACAAATGACATTTTAACTTGATTTTAACAAACAGATAACATGACTAGTCAAGTCTGCGAAGATCTTGGTTTAGGGAATTTCAAGCTAATGGGTATCAGAAAATCAGAAGAAGTATTACTATTTAGGTTGGTTTGTTCAAGTCAGTTGTCTTATCATAGCCATTGTGTAATTCTCAGTGTGGCTCGCCGAAATGGCAGGTCAGCCTCCTGAAAAGTATTCAGATACATTTTTAAAACGTTCCGTGTGTGTTATCGCCTCGAAAAGAGACCAAGTGTGTTTGTTATCTGTTTGCAGCAAAATGTATGTTTACCTGAGCAAATTCTGAGCGAGGCTTGGAGACCTCTACTTTAATATTAAACCGCATCATTTGCAAGGTTCGGCCCAAGATAATGGAATTCGAATTAAAATGCTGTCGTTACATGGAGAATATTTGGTTACATACTACGCCACGAGCATCGCAAGTTCCTTCCCCGTTGGCATATTAAAGGTGCATTTAAATCGTAGAAGAAACGGGCCGTCCTGTATGTCAAATTGTACGGTAATGGGATTATAGGGTTCTTGTGTATTGCAACGTTTGATCGGCTACGACGTCACTATTTTCACGACCTGTTCACTTCTTCTCTGTCGTTTTGTTCACTGTTGTGATTACTTATTTTTTTCGAGCTCAGCCTACGCATGCCTAAAATGTAAGTCCTTTGTAACATTTTCTTCGTCGAAGATATCTTGCTGATGTTGTTGTTATCGTTTATTCTGGCTCGTCCATTCCTCTTGTTATTATTTCTTGTTAACGCGCTGACAGCAAAGGCTTGCCGTCAGTACAAGATAACGACAGCGGTAAGGGCCCCCCGCCCGTGGCATCTCCGAGATGGGTTACTCACTGTTCGTTAGGTTGACCGTTTTGTTCGCGGCTTACCGTTGCTGCCAGCCAATAGACTGCCAACGGATCCAGTGATACGAGCCATAACGTGGCGACGCTCCTCATTGCCTCATTCCTGCTCGCGATTGCTCCAGCCGGTACCATGCCACGAAGTTGCTTCGGTTTCATGTCCACTTTCAGCCTTTTCTTTTTCTTCGTCACGTTTTTCTTTCACCCGTAGCATTTTTCGTGAAGCCATCTTTAACAGTGCTTCGGCTTTGATTCCCGACTCGATCTCTCCTCGTCTTCGACGGCTACCTCCACGCCCCTGCTGCCACCACCCACCGATTTTCCGTGTCGTATACGTCAAGCGTCCTTCTCTGCTGAACTCCCGATCTGATTTGCACATTGCCTTTCGTCTATGAGCTTGCCGCTGCCTAAGAAGCTGTTCCTGTTTGGCCCCGGTACAACTTCAGTACTGTGCATGTGCGCTAAATATCTGCTGGACCCCCGGGCGCATATTATTTTCAGTTCCCCTTTCAGCTTTGTACATTATCCTGTACTTATAAACGTTTCATTGAAGTCGTCGTCGTCTCCAGTGCCTTGACAGCACACGGTATCTGCCTGTCTCCGCCTTCGCTATTGTATATCCTCATTGTACTGCTGTTATCGTTTCATTGATCGAATCGCTTTTGCCGTACGCTCACTAATTTTCTTTGTGATTTTCTGTATAGTTTCATCATTGGCTCTTTCTGCGGTGAGCAATGCATCGCACAACATTTCGTTACGTGATCTTGAAACAGGGGAGTGAGCATCCTCAGTCAGTCCGTCACCGTTTGTTTCTGAGGTCCTCGGCAGAATGCTGCCTTCTACCGCGTAAAGACTAACAAACGTCGACGTCATAGAACGCTGGCGTATAGTATTGGGTTTTCTTTTTCTGGGAATGGTAGTTTCGGCAGTTTGCTTTACTAGTAGTAGCAGTGGCTGGTTTTTGATATAGGCTAAGGATGCTGGCCGCGATATTGACGACCCAGTTAACGTGGATAGTCTCCTTAGTTGCTGCGCTTATCTAAATGTAGTCTTTTACTGTTCGTCGAATGGCTTTCTTTCGTTGTCCTTTCTTTATGCTTACTCGTATGCGTCCTCTATTCAAAAACTTCGCTTGGCAAATGTTCTCGACAACAAGAAAAAACGAAACATAATGGAACAAGCCACTATTTGTCGCTTCAACGTCGCGAGGAATTTTTCGTTGTTGAAACTCTCATCCCTGACATCTCCATCGGCGTTGTTCTACGTTGCTGGATGTCTGTGCAGAGATTTCTTTTTTTGTCTAAGGGGAAGGAGCGTCGTGCAGGCGGCGCCTTTAGCTGGTTAAGGTTGTGGACACCGCCTCCGCTGATGCCGCTCGCTAAAATAGATGACAGAAAAACAGGCTGACACGACGAATGAATTCGCATTTGCACCGATCGTCAGTGTTCTTTACTCAGTTCGTACTCGAGAAACGGAAATAGCAGTAAGAAATGAGTGGTGCATTAAACTGTTGTCAAAGGCTTGTGCCGACTCAGACCAACTTCTATGGAGACAATTCAACGGGGCTAAGGTATTCAGTTATTTGTGGGTCTGGAGCCCAGTCACGGACGAACGTCTGCGAATATGCTACACTGTGCATGGTATCACCAGATGGAACCGTCCAACCTGCAAATAAAGAGAGACTGCCGTCATCCGATTTTTCATGTTTACCGTTATTGAACAATAAGCAGATAAGGTAAAGCAGAAACGTATACTCAAGCAACCTGGCAGGACTATTAGGAGAGCATATGAACGGATCTCAGAATGAGCTGGTTGTTGTTTTGACTTGTACTGTTATGCTCGCGAGCGTGAATAGAGATCCACAAAGGTCGTTACTTCAGTTAGTTCGATGACGAAGTTTTGTGTGAAAGAAAAAAGAAAAAAACCTTTGAAAATTTCTAGGTCCCTTGTTTCAAAAGGATAAATCGAAACAGTAAAATATAATTATCGTATTTTAGATACGAGCTTTAAAATTGTCTATATGACTACGTGATTTCTATTAGTCGTTGAACCACCCAAATTGGTGTGCTCATCAGGCACTTCGACATCCTTCTAGTTTATATTGAACGTCAAAAAACAATCTCAGTAGTATCCAAGTTCTAAGAATGATAGTCTATTCAGTGTAAACAGGTCTTTATCTCTTTTTTCACGCAGCTGCTGCGATCGGGCATGTAAACCTGTAAATTAAAACCCAGTTCTTCTGTGTGAATTAGCGAATAAACAAAAAGAAGCAACTGAGTTGCTAGATTAGCAACTTACTCAAAACAACTTTGACGAGAAGTACGTTGCAGTTAGCAACATTGTTTTACACCAGTTACCATAAGTGTCTGCAGTAATGCGAAGACAATTCAGCAGTCACTCACCTGCTGCTATACGTTTTTATATGTTAGCATCTCTGGCTACACATTCAATAATGCTTACATTTCTCAGACAACAGCATTCGAAAAATAGTTCTCCCCCGATACATCATTTATTTCACGGTGGATCATTAGAAGAAAGATAAAAATTGATGAATGTATACATACGTATATATATATAAATCTTACAAAGACTCTTTTGGAGCGGTCGAAGTGGTGATCTTAGGATAAAACGAGAGGAGCAAGGGTGCTAAGGTCAGCCTTATCCTGGCTGGCACCCGCTTCGAAATGAAGAGACTTCAGCTGGATCGATTAGCACATGTTTCTATCTTGATTCACCCCTTGAATATGATGCTTTTTGGTTCGTCATTGCTCACGTACGGCAAGCTCCCTGCTCCAACTTGTTAATAACAAGTTTTTCGGCATCGGTTTCTTTCGCCGCCGTCATTTTTTCGTTTCTTATTTGTGCTTTGTCGTTGAATGCTATAATTTGCAAAGTGCCCGCCGCACTTTGTTCGCCAGTCGTCACAGGAATATGCCACTACAGAGTTAGCGAGCTTTTTAACAGCAGATGTAAGGTATGTCGTAATGAACATTTATTAAACAAAAATACAGTTTTAAGCAGCAACAGTAATAACGCAACATTGTCCTTATCCAAAGCATGACCAACAAACCATCAATCGTTTGATTCGGCAATTGCAGCAGCGGAAGGGGCGGTCATAGACTTGGCCCATTTTTGCTAAAGGATCTTGTCCACTGACGATTTACACTGGTCCCGGCTTAACGTCGGCCGCTACCGCAAGCGTCGACAACGACTATTTCTGTGTGCGATAATTCGTCGACTGCAGCAAATAAAGCGAGTAACAATGGCCAGAATCAGCCAACAACCAACAGAAAAAAACAGCAGTAACCAACGGAAGTAGGTTTCGGCCATGGCGCACACTGCGCCTGCGACTGCAGCGCGAGTGGATTGTAGAGAGAAAGTATTCATCATATAACGATTATGCAGTGGTCTGGCCTGCTTCGTGCCGACTCGGCTCTATCCGTCGTGGCTCAACGACAGACCAATTTACCGACCGAGAGAAAAATCGGCAACTAACGGTCGATCCAGAGTGGTTCAGTGAAAACATGAACGGGAAGCGTCATCGAACGTAGCTCGATTCATTTTTGCTAAAGGATATCGTTGACGGTTGGTTTTTCGTTCGTCAGCGCCAATAGAAAACATCTCTCATCGTGCTGCTGCTAACGAGGAAGATTTTCTGTTTCTGGAATCATTTTCTGCTTCGTCATCTTTGCCGTCATCGCCTGCAGCAGTGCAGTCAACACAATCCAATATAGCAGATGGCCTCACGACGATGTTCATGTAGCTTTTAAAACTGCATCGAGGGCCAACTTGCTTGTGGCTACATGGCTACTAGTCGGGGTCCTGTAAAGACATGACTCCCATGACATTCACATTTCTTCCTGTGGGACGATTGCTAGGACGGGTGGTAACAAGACGTAGAGATCAACATCTGTAACGAGCTAAATAAGACCTCGAAATTAGATCGGCATCGTTATGTCCTAAAACAAGCCAATCAAGTATTGGTAATAACAGCACTAGAGGAAGTGGTAGAAGAATGAGTATAATTTAGTCATACAACCACTACTACTCATTCTTTGGATCGCTTCGGAAGAACGAGAGGTTTGCGATTTGACCAAGAAAACGTTGCCGTATGAAAATGGAATGGTGGCCCGATGAAGTTGTTGCTGACCAACATTTTCTGTACGAGATTCGAGAGCGCCGGACCGCCCAGATCGCAGTAGCGTTTTAAGTAATAGTGGTGAATTTCCTAATTAGAATGTCATTCAACGCATAGTGAAGCACACTGCGCTCGACGACAGGCCATCAAATGTATATATGAATTTGTATCGCATCTAATTTGGGAAGACAAAAATGCTGTACATAGATACAAGTATTTTACGTCAAGTCCCTAATTATACAATGAGATGATTAACAAATCCATAAGTTCTCAAACTACTTGGCTTGGACTAGAAGTTCATCATCACCTCAGCTGAACGTCGTTTTTGGGTCTGAATGAATTTTAATGTCAATAATGCATGCGTGTTAACGACAGATCGCTTATTAAGCGGATTGTAATAAGCGTATGTGCATAAAAGCAGCGACATGACCAGTGGAATTCGCGCCTTCAGTTTCACGAATTCCAATCGTAGATGTCAATGCTACGCTCGCATAAGATATGCTGGCTGATAACACATGAATTCCGTCCCTGTCAACTGGATCATTAAACGACCAGGTCATCGCCTTGCCGTCTTCAGTCCACAAGATAATATTCATTCTGTCAATTTCTAGCGTTTAAGCGAGAACTGGGTCTGCTTCTGAAGTAGAGCCAACATTCGTTCTAGTAAAAATCCAACTCAAAAAAACGTTAGTGGTCAACCGAATTGTATAGCACTGCATATATGTACACTTGACCTGGCTTAGGCTATCTCCCGCAATAAATACTTGATCTATTCCTTCAGCTCTTCAAGAGCTCGACTATCCCATATCAGTGATCTACTACGTACCAATTTCCAACTAGTTTCGAGCTTGTTCCATGAAACTAGACGCCTACACAGTGCCGAATGCACACGGATACACAATACAGAAATGTTCACAATGAAGTGCAGATATCAGACGAAAAGACAGCCCAACGTGTCCGCCAATAATAGACAGACTAGACGTTGTTATAAAGATATCGTCCCTTACCTGCTTTGGAGCCGTACTCTGATTAAGCTCTGTCCTTATAGCAAAAAAAAGGAATATCTTGGCGTTACTATAACTCACCGTCAATAGGTATTGTACGGGTTGAATGACAGAAGGATAATGGCTGAGCGTGTGCGAGCAAGCCAGAGTGCCTGAGCAGACTATACAAAATAAGAATCGAAAAGATATTCTTGGCGGAACAATTGCGAGCTTTGAGAAACACGGGAGTTTCTTAGCTCTCTTCTTTGGTGGGACAATCAATTCGCTGCTTTGTAATAAAGCGTTACATTGGATCATTGCCCAAGCTCGAGGTATGGGCAATCTGGCAATAGCGCTGCACGGTGCAGCAGTCATGAAAAGTAGCGGGTCACAATACACAGGGACAGAATTGATATACTTATAATAAACTTAGTGTGAACTGGGGCTTCAAAAATAATAGAAAGTTCTTATAAGGGATAAACGAAATTTTGACGCTCGCAGACAGGTGAAATGGAAGAAGTGCTTCAGAGCAAAAGCTACGCAAGTATGTAGGGTCGCCGATGGACTCTATGCTAGTAAATTGCACGCATTTGTCATAACAGTCCATGAGGCTGGGTCGATTCGGGTTAGGTCACGTGATGAATTCGACTTAGCAATGTTAAATAGAGTTTGACAGGTTCAACCCACGTCTTTACGAAACTTCGCAACAATAGAACCTAAGTACCAGCAACTTTCGTTAAGCACCTTATCATTCATCACATTGCCAAATATGACCAGCGGCAATAATGGTTGTTATTTTCGTATTGACAGCAGCGTCACATATATGACGTTGGGCCTCTTCGCGTGATCCCTTTGATCAGAAAGCAGCTAGATGACAACTCGAAAGCGTGGTAGAGATTCAAGAAAGGCCTTATTGTCCGTCCCTTTGGATCACAATAAGCAATAAGAAGTCATCTCTATTTGCGCAAAGGCGAATATCGTAGAAATGGAACATATCTTTGTTTACGTATGGAATATCGAATCAATTTCTACTTCGTTATGCGGGGTTATTCTTATTTACTTCCAATATAATTGGAAAAATCTTTTCATTGAGTTGTGTCAGTTGCATGCACGCCATTTTGCTAACTGCTCGTAACATCGACTCTACTTAGTACGCGGCCAGCAACAAGCATACGCTCATACATGCCAATCTACCTGCTGCGTTTCTAATTTCTACCAGCTCAGCCTGGCTTCTTCTGATTTACAATATCTATGGTGCGGACGCGTTCAAACAAGATATTCTGATAAAAATAAAAAGACCTCATAGATCGATTCCTTCTCAATGCCATGGTAATTGAAGACGTATACATACATAGGCCTACATATGAGGTAGAAGTAAAATAAAAAATCTGTTTTTACGGCGATGAATGCTTCCAGCATGTAGTCGCGTTAGACGCAAATCTAACGAATCAGATCTGTTAGTACTATTACTGTGCCTGTTAGCCAAGTGCTGGACGTAGTTCTTTTGTTCCGGCGCATTTATCGTAAAGCTATTATGCTAGTAAATCGCCCAATGAGGCGATGATGGAGAGTTTGACGATTCAAATAACCACTGTTGGGTAGCGCCAACAGAAAGCCATCTCCATGGGAAAGTCGATGTCTGAAATTGACGTTGCGGCTTCAGCAGACTGCTGGTCTTTTCAGGGTGGTCCTATTTGGTGGTGCTACCGGGTTGCCTGACCGATGCTCGTACCGCTCTAGTGCTAGTGCTCATTGTCTGCTGGTGACTGTGCCTACGGCAGTGAAGGTCTTCCCCGCCAGGTCACGTGAAGTCCGCTGTTTCGTCGAAGACTTTTCGTCTTGCTCTTTCTCCTCATGCATGTATGTCTATGCGCGTGTATGTTGGCGTTTCGCTTGTTAAGAAAGCAGGGGCCGTGAAGTTGTGAAATTGGCTGCGGGCAAGAAGTGGCATAGCGAGTGTTGACCGCAGGCCACACACGAGATATCGATCCTCCGGCTGCACACAGCTTTGAGTTAACTGTTTGCCCATGAATGTATTATGCCTAGTTGAGTATAAATACTTAACGTCCGTTTGTTGCTGGCTGGTAAGACAGCTTCTAAAGAGAAGCAGGGCTAATGAAAAAAAAGGGGGGAGAAGAGGCGGTCTATGTTAACAATAGACAGAGTGAGCCATTGATACCAGGTACGGACCTCGTCGAACGATCGGTCATGAATCGTAACAAGGCAACGGGTGAACTGTCATCCTGTCAAAGCTCATTTAGGCTGTTAAAATGCGGGTATAACTGATTCTCAACGGCTCCCCTATATTTATATAAGCGCAGAATGCTAAACTCTGGTAAGAAAGTTTTCTGGCAGACAGATATGGGATGCAAGACGGCTATTCTCATAAAGACCGTACATTTGAGATGTGGGCACATGTGTACATAACTACTAATGCACTTCATGACAGTCGAAAATTATGTGTGATGTGCAATGAGTCTAGCACAACGCTGTTGGATAGGATATACAGCTCAAGTGCATCAATGAAGTAGGTGCGAAATAGTGGGCTTTTCAATATTTTGGTGAAACCTACAAGTATGACGATGTCAGACTGCAATCCTGAATCACGGTTGCAATCGAATCCTTTCGATGGTGTGTGGTCGTCCCAATGGTAAAATCGACAAGACGTCCGCTGATAAAACTGAGAGCGCAAAACTTGGATTCTCCAATTAGATACACAGTTGCAGTAACATACACAAATTAACTATTACGGTACATTCAGGACCACTGTATAAGTAGGTTGAAAATCAGCTAACTTTTCGTTGAAGTGTTAACTCTCAGATGCTTCACCGTCTTAGTCGCGTTTAAAAAAATATTATCCACACTGATTGTCACTTCGAGCACCTGATACCCTTATGTTCGTTTCAAATACGATGATGTGTTGAAAAGACATGAAACATTTGGTGCCAGTTTGGCTTGTTTCTCTCTGCGCAAAAAATACTCTACAGATCCATAATTGCAAGCAACAATAGAATTTCTCATTAATATGAATAGGTTGTGGCCTCAAATTGATTCATCGATCACAATAGGTCACAGATTGCAGTAGGGGTTATTCCTTCAGAAGAACAGCAGGTAACTCCTATTCGACACGAAGCTTCATTATTTCATCGCATTGCGTTATGGTGCATCCGAACATTGACAATTTCATCTTAGATTAGGCTCTCTAATGCTGAGTTAAATACAGTGTCGTATTAGTAAATTGGGGCGATCCTTAACTCTAGGGTAAATCATGCCATAGAAATACGTGAGACCGACAAACATGATGCTAAGACTTGTGAACACGGCAGGGGTATGGCAAAGGAACATTCACCGTGTCTTTTTAACAATTTCAAAACTGCAGAACGGGACAGCTAATGTCGTTTAGATCGATAATCTAGAAACACTCACATTTTTGGCATGTTACTAGCTTATCGCTTAGCTGGCTTTTGATAGCCGAAAAGTGAAGGGGTGATGAGAGCGAAGTATTATGTTAACCTAGAAAGGTGAAGTTTTAACTAGAAGGTTAAAAAGAAAAACAAGAAATTCGTTAATTCAATATTCTAGAAGCGAACATTGCTAGGAATGGAAACAAAATTTTAGTTGTGTTGATTTCCGTGCAAGAAATTCATTGAAACACAGTTAGACAGTTAACATGAGATTGCCTGCTAGCGCATTCTAGCTGAGCAATACAATAGCACTGGTTGGATATTTCGAACTATCGAAGATTACAACTATGGCCATTGCCGTAGCAATTAATAGTAATAGCCGACCTGGGACAATCATTTACACAGGAACCGACTGCCGAATAAACACATGGTGCAGCTTTTCGTTTACCTATTGCCCTGACACAGCCGCTGACAATAAATGATTTCGCCGAATTACATTCGCCAGACAAGCTGATGACGTAGACTTCGATGATAGTGAATGTTGAACTCATAACTATGCCTCATATTTCGAGTGCGAGGCTTCTCGCTAGTCCAATCTCGCAGTTCCCAGTGAGACGTGATGAAACAACGTGATCATATGATGAAGCTGATTATATCGAGCCCATCGTAGCGTGCTTGTTTCCTATATGATGGCGCCTCTGACTTTAGTGAATAAATGAACATTACAAATATATGCAACATGCAGACTTTGATCGCGTACGTTACCAAATGGTGTAGGTGAGCTTTGCGAAGCTCCAGCTGAGATCTTCCCATATCAGGGATTGGTTTTTGCATCTTAGAGGAAGTGTACGACACGATACATTTACTATTTAAAGCCATTCTAATCTGTCACCCAGTAAAGATAGCCACACACTATTCGACAACGACCTAGGTTTCTACTACTTTCCGGAGGTTAGCAACTCCGCCGAGTCGTTCTGATCGCCCGAAGCCGAACGATAATCAGAAAACTTACAGTTAAAAGACGATCACGAAGCTTCCGCGTGACCAAGTCAGGAAACAGTAAATGCCCGGTGTAAAAACAATCTGTGTTTGTCCGAGATTTTATGCTGCTTTTTTGTGTGTGTATAAATGAACGTTTTCTTGTCGAGAAAGTACCTTACGAAGGGGGCGGCTTTAAATTAAATTGAACGGATATCGGAAGGTGTTCCTAAAATAGGCCAGAGATTGTAGATCGAGTCACCAATGATTTCAGCCTATTAAGAATAAAACATTGCGTTTAGGAAAGGCCGCTAAAAGTTTGAAGGCAGAGAAATGCATTCAACGAGATCAGTTATCCTGTGCGCATTATTAATGACGATTTTCGTTGATGGGATCACTGCCTCGGGGGAATACCATGCTAATGAAGGCGGAAAGTTTTCCGCGTTCAAAAGTCAAGCGGATTTCGCTGAAAAGCAGTTGCGTAAAACGCTAAATCTGATGCCTGAAGATGAGGTTCATACGGCGAGTGTCGCCATGCAGGTTGGTAAAGAATATCTGAGAGATATTTCATTTGACGTTCATAGTTATATAATATGTTTATATTTCATTTATTTATATGGCCACTTACAATTACGAATGTATCTATATTTTTATAAACTTGATATGTCATTAAATCAAATTAATTATATAAATCTTAAGTGTCTTAAAATTAAAGTATCAGAAACTTTCGTTCTCGGCACAAACGTGCCTTGACTTATTAGCCCCTCTAACAAAATCCCCATTTGAGCGTGGTAACCGCTAATTCATTATGCAACTAATTTCAAATGTTTGAATAAAAAGATAACGCGAAATTGATTTTTGTGCCTAATCATTCCCCTAGTTTTCACTAACGTATCATTTATTTAAGCTGCACCATACTTCCCAGAGCAACAAACTTTTTCGTTCAATGACTTTTGTATTAGTATGAAAATTCGCACAAAAAAACTATCCCGATGCACGCAACTTATCAGGATTCCTCTACAGCTTCATTTTTTCCTCATCCAACTCGTGAATGCGTTGAGACTTCAATGCTGATGTTGCTACGTCAGCATTTACCAATAAACATTTAAGGTTTAGCGTTGTAAATAGTATAATCGATGTCGATTCTGCTGAACGGATTTACTAAAGGTCAACTTTAGTAAATCCGTTCAGCAAAACAGCACACTGTTTTGCCTAAACTGTGAATGCCACTGAAATTTCAAGTTACTTAATTTCACAAAAAGAACTGAGGCTTATACATATTCGATTTTACACATGCGCTCAGGGCTGTTGCTAGCGTTCAGCTAGACTGAAATATCAGCCATATTCAATAGTCCTGGAAAGTTCCTATTTTCCAGCTCTGAGTATTGCTTTTCAGCTCAACATCGACGCTATCTGCGTAATAAGCGTACGCTTATCGCAAGCCAGGCGATACAGTAGAGACATCTGTTCAACGGAATCCTGCACCGTCTACATTATGTCCGCTCCTACCTGCACCGCTAGCAAAGAGTCTCTCTTTTCGCCTGATTCTGTTACACTATGTTGAATATGAGTTTGTTCAGGCTGAACAAACACTACTCAACCTTGCTTAGAAAAACATGTCGCCTGCCAATAGATCACGGTGTCCGGTCGAACCCTGAATTGTTATACTAACAATCGTAGCAAACTCATTTATTTGGTTGTATTACGCCTCTAAATAAAATATAGTATACTTGTTTTAGATACGCTGGTCATAAATGGTGGATTATAATAAGTTCTGTCCTATGTGTTTCTTTCGAAAACACATCAACCACCCTGCACGTGCCGTTCAACAAAATATCGCTAAGGAGAATGCTCCGCACGCCATCGCCTCGTTGTGGGAGATACCGAAGATTGTTCTAGTCAATCACTTGAGGGTAAAGAGATTTAGTAGATAGGCCATTATACGACGCAATGACACTGGCAAGGCCGTATCGAATAAAACATCCTGCAACAGAAGATTACCAATGTGTTTTTGCCTCCTGATGCCTCCAGACGTCGAGTAGTTGTTGTTTAGGAAACGAATATGCGCACAATGCGGCACAATATTAATTTACAGTTTTCTCTTCTGTTGCAGATAAAGGACGGGCATATATTTAACGTCACTATGTATGTAAAGGTATGTTTAGATTCCGCTCTCACTTAAAATCTCACTTGTTCATGGCAAGAGCAGATGCACCCATAAAGAAGATACATACAGGTCATTCATTTTTTGATGTGTTCTACTTTATTGTGTCTGTCTTTTTGAAAGTATCCTACACCCAAAATGGTCTGAACCCGGCAATTTTAAATCTTCACCGAATCTCCTTAATCAAGTGCTCTCCTCGATTTAGCTATGTCATAATTTAGAGGTGCGCTTACACACCCGCCAAAGCAGCTGGCAGCTTCTGTCCGAGCCTCGTTAGTCTCTGGTCAGACATTTTCTTAGCAGTGCCATAAAATAATACGTACAGTCGAATCCGAGAGGACAAAATACAAATATAACTTTCGTTTTGACAAACCAAAGTTATTCGTGAGTGTTACATGGGTAAAACGAGAGAGTTGAAATTCGCTTGCAAAATTATTTAAACGTTTAGAATTTGTTTTATTTGATCATCATCATCAGTTATATTAATAATTTTAAATTTTCATTCAAGTATTTTGACGTTTGCCAGTCCTTGTTAACTCCATTTGATACTCGATTCGACATCAGCTACTCTAGTTGACCCCCCCCCCCCCCCGGTTAATATAGCGATGTTAGTCCAACGTTGACCTGTCGATGTGAGTTTAAGTGTTTGTCTGGGGACACTGTATATATGGCGCTGACGAAAAAGTGTAATCATGTTAGAAAAGAATGTCAATTTATACGTAACGATACTAATTGGATTGAAATTATGATTGAGTTAATAGTCGCGGTGGTCATCCGAAATTGTTTCCGTTCCATGTTTGTTCTTCACCGAGATACTTTTTCGTGGCATTATTATTATTATAGTGTTTGTATTGTTTGTCTTTATGGGTATGTGTTGCCTTTTACTATTTATCTATGCACTTCTATCAAGTGTCTTTGTCTCAGTTTCTGTTTAGGACGGTATCACAAAATATGAGCTTGGCGCTAGCTTAAAATAAGAGCATAATTACGAATAAGTACGCGCATAATCGTATACATAAAGAAAAAATTGTTGAATTTCAGAACGTCCAATCTTGTTCTGTAATTGTTCACGAGCGACAAGAAGGCGAGCCTCTGGAAATTATTAAAGAAGCTGACAAAATTGCTTCCTGTGTAGACCTGTGGGGCGACGATACTAGGTTCGAGGTTCCCCCGGGCTCGGTGTAGGTCTCACCGTTTCTCTACTACAGTATTATCCAACGAAAGGCACGGTCAGAGGAACGTCAACCTTCTTTATACCATACTAATAGTGTGATTATTAGTTTGGATCGAAAACAAACATGATGCTATTAATAAAAATCACCAATATAGTTATCTATAACTGTGTTTTCATAACATTTAGTGATCGGAACGTATCAAAAGCTGAAAATGACATAATCGAATCTGCTGACAGCTAATTACGTTACGTTAGACAGATTTCACGGGTTTTTTTTCATTCATTAAAGGTTAGGTTGATTTATAGAGCGGTTTTTTCGGACCATATTTATAGCCTTGAATAGGAAATATGTATTGACAGGCACAGTTATACTCGTAGATATAATACTTTGTACGCATATTTCACTACAATATGTATATGGGTATAACTCAAAAGGGATTTTTAAACAATTTTACGACGACAAATTCAAATATGTTTGAGCGCGCGCGGTTCATAAAAATGACGCTGGGTGCCTTGACTAAGACGAACTATTACAGTTAATTGATTATCATCAAACTTTAGGTAACCGGAAGAAAGAGATCTTTTAATCATGGACAAAAACCTTTAGGGCCTAGTTCAAGAATCGTGAGATTTGTTTTTACATATAATTACGAACTCCAGCTTCCTGCATTCGACCGCGTCGTCAAAGGCCAACATAGTCATTGTCTTTTGTTTCGTTGTCCTAAACTTCTGAGCAACCAACCACATTGTCTCTCGCCTGATATTTGGCGTCGTAATTCACCTTATTATACAGTTTTACGAAAAACTTTCGTCAATTTGAATAGTAAGTTTCGTCAGAACTTCTGCCTTTTTCTTGCTTCGATTAGGCTGCAATCTGCTGCATTAAGTAAAAATAATATAACCAATAAGCGACAAAGAGCCAATGTATACATTTGCATGTGTTATAGTGGGGGGTAGCGTTGCATCACACCGGGTCTGGTTGCCGGTCGAGGTCGAGCCCTAGTGCCAATGGGAAATTTTCGAAATAATATTTTTGAATTGCATCCTCTTCTGTTGCAGGTTGCAAGGCTTAATGTAGTTCTAATCCTCTTTACATTATTGCAGTGTGTACATGTAAACAGATGGCTTGTGAAGAAATAAGCTTTTCCTCTTTTAGCAAACTAGCTTCTGCTTCATGTTTCGGAGAAACGAGTCTGGAATAAAAAGGTGATCAGTTATCCTTAAAAGCCCTGTGTTTTTGAATTTAGCGTAAACATCAATCTTCTAATCATACACAAATACAGTCTCATATAGGTTCACCAACGGACACGTTTCATCACAAATCGTCCGATAAAGTTGCCTTCGTATCAAGCGTTGCCTATGGTAACTTAGTAGGGACTTTTGGAGTTCGATAAGTACCAAGATACTTCGGCTGTTTTTGTATAGCTGTTGTTACAGCAGAAGCATGCGAACCTCGGCAGGAATTTTATAGCGAATAAATTAGTTACATGAATTCAATATTTTTAATACCAGCCTCATGCTCTCATGAAAAAATGTGTGCTCCATTAGTGCAATTCAGCATATTTTTGTTTTTCTAGTAATGACTTTGCATCAGAATACGAATCTTGACAAGGTTCGCAGGAAGGAAAGAGGGCTTAGTCACGAGACCTAAACTATAATGTCAGTTCCTCCATTAATCCGCAGTGATTACCCAGAACAATGGGTTAAGTTACGTATCTAGAAAATCGCACAAATTTATTAATTTAATCTGGCTCGTCTGTACATTAAGGATCGTATTATTGTTACGCTATGTTATTTCTAGGCTATTGTGTTACTTGAACCTGGACGCAACTGTGTTACCTGATTCTATTTAATAAGAACAACAAAAGGCAGCCCCATTTGTTGAAATCGTTCAGTAGTGTAGTGTAGTCACCATCGATTGTTGAAAAGTGACATTCAGTGGCGCCCTCATAACAGCGCGCAATGCTTCAAAATGGAAATTCAGGCACATGTCATAAAACATACATTCATAACCAAACTCCTTTTTTTTTTGTTTATATAGATTTATAGATTATTCAAATACACTTCGGGCACATTAGTATAATAATAATAATGATAATATCAATAGAACTGATAGTGACTGTCCGGTAGTAATTTGATAACGGAGATAATATACGCGTTTTAGAAATATTCTAGTGTTAGAACTCTTATGCGTGTCTAACAGCGAAGAGGCTCCGGGTGCTGTATTTGAAACTGCGTAGTTCCATCAATTCACAATTGATACTTGGCAGCATGATCTTAATCCATTTTTTAATGAAATGGTTTCGGAAAATTGCCCCAATTTTGTAGTTTAAGGAAAAGCAAACACTCGGACACATGTACGTTTGGATCTAATTTCCACGGTATTTACCGCAGCTGAAATCGTCAATTTTTTCAAATCTTGTCTTATTCGACTCCTAATATTTTCACTATAAACTTTAACAACAGTTAGCCATGCAGTAGAAGTGAACATCACAGTGCCATCATCATTTTATTAGCAAGCGGTGACCGCGTCCGAGCAGACAGCTGCGAACGAAAATCGATGGGATTTCATAGGGAAACGCGCAAACCTTCACGTCACCGAACCCACCTAATTCGTCGCCCAATAAAATGAGCTTCAGCTTAGCGCAAGAATTAAATGCAATACGTACCAGCTAGAACTTTTATGATTTTTAGTATTTGTCCTCCATTAACTTGCCGATTATAGAAGAAGTTGTTTTGCACTTTTGTTGTACTTAATTGCGGCTGGAAAGAATACAATGGTATCCTACCGTAACCTTCCATGTGTAGACTACCCGTAACTGTATTGGACGGACGTCAAGGAAAATCTTTCAGTAACCATAGAAAACGCACAAGTAAAAAAGATTGAGCACTGAGTATTACTATAATCGTTATGATTATTTCATAAATAAACTAACACACTGGTCTTCGTTGTGTATCCTGTCGGTCGACTGAGCGGAGCTTGTAATTCATATAGGATCCAAATGATAGCGAAACTTGAACTATGTAACATTGGAGACAACTAATCTATTGCCATGCCAAATTGCCGACGAACGACTGCTAAAGCCTGGTGAAACGTACAATTTTTCCATATTTTTCAACCGCGTCACTTACAAAGACGTTTTCTCATCGTGCTTTTATCATCTCTAGCAATCTGGCCACTTGTCTTATCTCTTAATCAATCTGGTAGGCAAAATATTATCCTAACACATCTACATGTTCCATCACTTAGCCACTTTAGTTACCAAATCAAAAAAGTATCTACGTCATATTCACAACAAGCACTATCATTCGCCTAATGAGTACTGACGTATTTACCGGGGCCGTGAAGACGAGTTACGAATAAGTTGCAAATACGATTTTTTGTTAATAATCACGATTGCGTCTATAAACATGCTACAATCACAGAGAAACCAATTTCACTATCTCTTTATGTGTAGCAAAATAAAACATCTAGTTCTTTCTTTTCTTAAGCTAACTGAAGGTTATCTTCCTTTGTTTCTAGACGTCTAACATAGGGCCCTTATTGAGGTTTAAATCAGCGTGTATCTTCTCGATTTTGCTGGTTAATACATAATGAATCGCTTGTTGACGATTGCTCTGTCATTTAGACACGAACCGACATAGTCTAGATATGACGGCAGAGTCTGTGTGCCGGGCAGCGGTACCATCAGCAGCAAAACCTATTTGCTGTTAACAGTTGTGTAATTTCAGGTTGAACTTCAGCTGTCCACGTATGTGGACAAATTTTCAGCAACACTTTTCACTACTTCTTTGAACAACAACTCAGGACAAGCCTGGCTTAACTTCTAGGAGCGGGGGCTTTCCTAACAAAGCTATAAAGCGACATCGTTACCCTTTCGACAGCTCCTGTGGCTGTTAGCGCACTGATTTTGTGGTCAGCGACAGGCTTGCTATTAATGCTTATTACGGCGGTGCACTCATGGATACGTGCTGACTACCGGGGCCATGTGGTCCCTCTATTAGCCATTCCTTTGTGAGCCACAATATATTGCTAGGACCATGTTTTTCCTTAGCGGTAATGTGTTTACAATATAGTCATGTGAATTCCAATTAAGCTCTATCAGATTATTTGAGTTCGAAAGTTACGCGTTTAAATAAATCTATATTCCCTAGCTATTGCTTCGTAAAGTTATGACTGAACTGATCCAATTTTTATCATCCGAAGCCGTTTTTATACTTCGCAAGGTAGGAATGACGCTTACTGCTGAATAATAAAAAATAAGTTAAATCCAGATCTACGTGTCATTTATACGAAGGTGACACCCAAGATTGTTTGTTGGACATCTGCCGAGCACCTAACGACAGACGCGCAGTTGATGGAGAGTGCGTAAAAAATATTCAGTTTAGGTAATTCGGGTATGATCGCTTCCAATAAAGGCTTCATCTAAAAAAAAACAAGAGCCCTAATTGAAAGAGTAACACCAGTCCTTAAATGTAGAGGGAAAGTGTTTGTTTCCGTTAATCTCTGTTCCGCCTGCTTTGGGTGCCAGTTGCCGTAACATTCTAGCCAAAGGGTTCTCAAACCAGTGGCGACGACCGTACAAGGACACCTGAGTAATCAAAACAGTAGAAGGAAGGATTGTGAGGCCCTATGGTCAACACAATTCTACAGAGCTGTAAAACATTTCGTAAAACAAAAGGTAGCAATATAACAACGAAAGTGTCTACTGTATACCGTGAAAATATGCGATTTAATAATCACATCAGTTAGAAAGAAAGTTGATAGTAATAGATTATATTGTAACAACGGTCGGCCGATGCGTTTGGAGCAGCCTTGTTTGTCGATCGCCAGCGAACGAACAACCGGAGAATTCAAGACCAGGTTGTAGAGGTAGTAATATACACCTACAATATACAGCTTGGATCTATGAACAGTCTTCAAAACGGTTCATTCCCATGCTTGAAGTCGTTTGGAAATAAATTCAAAAGGATGGAAGCTACAATCGAGCTCGGTATGATGGAAAAAAGCACGATATTGAAGCGAGATCTCGACGAACTAAACTTAAGTGTATAAAAGAAAGTTTAATGGAAAAGGAACTAGAAAGTATTTTCTTAAATAGCGAAGATGCTCAAATTTACTATCATAAATATCTGGAACGCAAACTTCTCTAAGCTAACATCTATCATACTCCTGTGTTCTGCAAAAACCAAGAACTGAGAAACAAGAACGATTCTAATTAACTGGCAAACACCTGTAGCGCGTTAAGTTTCATGCTCTGCCGTTTGTCCATCTCAATTGATTTGAACAAATTATTTTTTCCTTAAAATTCTGTTCTTTTACATTTTCAATAAGTGTTGAACCATCGGGCTACATGCATTATGTCTGGTTGAAGATCCTCAGGCTACCTTTCATTCTATTTCCAATCAAAGCAGATGTCTAATATGAAAACAAACCAACCAAATATATTATAGCATTGCATTACTAACGACTGCTAAATGTATCAACAATTTGTCTGGTACGTAAGGTTAAACAGTGTTTGCAGGCTCTGTAGCACGATTTCGCCTTATCTAGGAGAATAGAGCACGCCATGTTGATGAGTCTGTTATTAACACTCGCGAAAAACACCAGCATATCAATATAATAGAATATAGAAAACACAGCTTAACTGAGGTGAATTGGTATATATTGGTGAGGGTATTAAGTTCTTATTTTTATAAGACATAAATTATGAATACAGAGGTTATATCAATAGGAAGCGCGTTGAAATCATATTGTAGTGGCCGAATTTTGAAAGAATATATATATTCTTTCAAAATCCAATATATATATA